TAATATATATATATACATAACCATATTATGTTATAAAACAATATTTGTCACATTCATGCTTTTTTAGATACAAATCACTTGTAGTGAAATCAATCAGAAGTGGAATGGGGAAGTCCTTTTTTGTAGAAAAATGTGGCTCACGACTTTCTTCTCATTTGGATGCTAATTATCAAACAAATATGAGTAATAGTCAAAACAAGAACAGTGTTGTTATTGTTTCTGTGCATGGGACAATGGTTAACACTGATGCAATAGTTGAAAGATTACTTCAATTTGAAGAAAGACCTAATGCTTTTTTCCCTAGAATATATCATTTTGATATCACACCAATGGTAAAAGTTTACTTGGGTTTAAATTTAAACAGATTTTTCATATGATTTAAAAATATGTTCATATATATATATATATATATATATATATATATATATATATATATATATATATATATATATATATATATATATCAACCCTCGGAATTTGGAAAATTGAGTTCGGCAATAATTTGCTGACCTCAATCTTTTAAAGGTTGGCATCAGGTCGGCAAATACCATAAAACATCAAAACGAGGTTGGGAAAACCAAATTTTTTTTTGCCGACCACAAACATATGTATGTATATATATATATATATATATATATATATATATATATATATATATATATATATATATATATACATACATACATATATGGATTGCAAAAACCTTCTCTTTTATTTCAACTCTTATTTTTAATGGCCCTCTTCCTGCCATTCCATTTAATCAGGTTAACCTATTGTTAAGCATCCAAATCACTTTGGCTTCTGTTGCTAAAGTTATTTCTCAATAAAATTCTTCTATGGCTTGTTGTTCAGACAACACTCTTGTCGCAATCTTACAAATGTATTCTCCAGAACTCTCTTTAATTTGCTCTAAGCTATTTAGTAAGTGTTTGAATGAATCTTGTTTTCCTGCCTGCTGGAAAATGTCATTTGTGGTTCAATTTTTAAATGATTCCAGAGAACACTCTGACTCCTTCAAGTATTGTTCAATTAGTCTTCTTTCTATTTTTAGCAAGATCTTTGAGTCTTTTTTTAAAAAAATTCTACAGCTGACTAGATAACTGAAAGGTTATATTGTGAATTAGATAGAGGTGGCAAGGGAAGAGTTTTTGCTCTTGGCATATTAAAGGCTTTTGATTTAGTCTAGGACAATGGTCTTCCTTATAAGGTTGCTTCATATGGTGTATCTAAGCAGCAATCAAATTATTCCTTTCTAATCCTAGTATTAAGGTTGTCCTCGAAAATCAACATTCTTCTTCAATTCCACTTCTTTGGTATTGCAAGGTTCTAACCTTGGACCTGTTTTGCTTTTTATCTCATCATGTCAATGATTATCCTGATAATTTTACATTTAAAGTGGTTTTATTTGCTGACAACACAACTGTCTTGACAAAAACTCTTTACTTTAGCTAATATAAAATCTTATCTCTTCTTCAAGAGCTTGGGGCTTGCGTTTGCTTGCAGTTTGTGAATTTTAACTGCAACTGAATTCATTTATTTACCGCAAACAGTTATTGCTTGTTGTTGGTGTTCTTATAATGATGAATGACAACACTCTCAATGAACCTTAACTTTGTGTTTGCTTGTTTTATTATTCACTATTGATTTCTCCTAAAAAAACATTTGATTGTTAAGTTATCATCTGCTACAATTGTTTCTTTTTATTAAGCTTGTCATTCTTTACTCCAAATTCCATTTTCAACCTTTCCAAATGTCTTGTACATTCCTGTATGGAATATTGCTGTCATATTTAGGCTGGTTCTTCTAATAATGCTCTTTCTCTTCTAGACAAGTTACAATAATTTGTTGTAAATGTTCATGCTCTTTAATAGTATTATTCTGATAATATATAATAATAATAATATTCTTTAATACTATATATTCCTGCTAACTCTTAATTTAAATAGTGTTTGCTTCCAGTCTTGTTAGAAATAAATTACTATTTAAAAAAGATAAATAAAAAATTTAAGAATAAGCAAATAAAGTGACATCAGGCAAATTTTGAAATTATTGTTTAAGTTTGTCTTAATTGAAGAAAACTTCTTTAGATGAAAATGAACAACAGTTAATAAGTGTTAGTCAATGGAAAATTTAAAATCCTCTAAACAACAGCTTTATAGCTGCCAATGTACAAATTTTTTTAAATGAGTGGTTGAGCATGGTGGCCTGCAGGCAAACAATGTTTAAGTTCTATGTATAATAGGGTGTAGACTTTTTAGTACCTTTAGTTTTCTGTATAAAAAATAGATGAACTTTGGTTTGAAAGTAAGTGAAAAGTTATTGTTATTTATTTTTGGAATTTTTTTGAAAAAGGTCACCCACCATGACTCTTGATTAAATGCTGGGTCCCATATGTCAGTAAAAAATGTTTTCTCTAAAAGTAAATTAACCTGGGTCTCAAAAGAATCAGAATTTTATAGAGTTTTCAGATATGATAATTTTAAATAAAAATAAATTGCTTAGATATACAAAAAAGCAAAGTTTCTATTGAAACCTTTTTTTTAAAAAAGATAGTTTCAATAGAAAATATTATGAATTTCAAAATCACTATAAAATTTGGTTCTTTTGAGAGCCAGGTTGATATACTTTTAAAGAAAAAAAATCAACCAATATTTGTGACCCAGCATGTAATCAAGGGTCATGGTGGGTGAAATTTTTCAAAAAGTAAATAAAATCAATGACTTTTCAATTACTTTTAAACCAAAGTTCATCTATTTTTTATATAGGAAACTATAGATACATAAAAATTGCAAAAAAATTCAACATCCTAATGTATAAGCATATGTTTTATAAAAAAGATTATGAACATGTTTTTTTATAAGTCAATAAGGTTTTTTTTGCCAAATTATGCGATAAAAATTTACAAAGATTTTAAACTCTTGCATTGTGATCAACATAGAAAAACAAATAGCTTGTTGGTGCCACTGCAAGCCATTCAGAAACTAATGTTTATTTAAACAATTAAAGCTATTTAAGCAACCTATTTATATGTTACCTTGTACTTATACCAAGAATAGGCTCCTTAGCTTTGAAAAAATGATGGCTGCAAAGAGGCTGCAAAAGAAAAGAAAATATGAAGTTTATTTCAATAGATTTTTTTGATTGCTAGTTATTAAGGAAGGAATTAAATATTTTATTTTTATTTCTTTTATTATTATTTTTTTATTGAGTAAAATACAAGTTGTTTACTTATATTTATACTGTTCAAAAGTCTTTTAAAAAAAAACCTAAAAAAAAAAAGTTTATCAAAGACACTTTATCATCTTTGTGTTTTCTTAAAACCCCCACAAGCCCATTTAAATGTTTGACAACAAAAAAATGAAAAAAATCTATCAAAAAAATTATAAAGTTTGTTTACAAAGGTGTGGAGTGGCAGTTCCTACCACAGCCATATTATTCAGACTGGAAACATTATTGTGAGTTTGAAACATTTAAATAAAAGTGGAGTGTAAGGTATAACCTATCTATTGTCAATCTCAATATCTATATAGATATAGATATTGAGACTATAGGATAATCCAGAACATATTTTATTTCTCACTGTAATTCACCATCCCCAGATCGTCGTTATCCCCATTTTAGGTTTTTTATATGAAGTATTTAAATAGCTTTTAGGAATGTTTTCTGTCAACTGTGTAACTACAGTTGACAGAAATTGTTTTTAGAAGGTTTATAATAATTATGATTCTCATGAAAATAAGAAATTTGCACCATTTTCCGAATTCGCAACATTTTTACAATATATATTATAGTGATGATGATTTTGTTGCCTTTATAGTAAACATTTTTACATGACTTGGTTGTCATTATGATTTAACATTCTTTTTTATAGGTACTTCCTAGGTCTGTTTATACCTATTTACATTGTTATTTGCATTTTTGTTCATGTATTTCTTATTGTATAATACATTATCATATAGCTGTTACTGTTCTCGTTACTTATGATCCATAAAGCATAAATGACATAAAGCTTTTATTTTGATTATTTCTTCATTTTGTAAATGTTTTAAATTGTTCTTGACAACAGGACAACTTCATAAATCCATTTTCTTTTCTTTGATTTTTTTTATGGATTATTTTTTTTTTACCTGAATATAATATAAGAGTAAAAAAGATGTATTAATAAAAAAAAAAATCTATAAAAGTAAAACAAGGTGGAAGGAAATAGAAATAAATAACAAAATAGTTAATGTTTATTCTTTTGTTTTTTTAATTATTAGATAAACTTTTGCAACATCTTTTGATCATTTATTAGAAAATCTTTTTTCTGAATAAGTTTATACAAAATATTATTTAAAATTTTAATAAAAAATAAATAGTTTGTTAAATAAATTGTTTAATTTTTGTCTGGATAATATTTTAAGAGTTTCATATCTATTTTTTTTAAATGTATATAAAACTCTAAAAAGTATTTTTTATACATTTTTTTGACCGTAAATATTTTTTACAGCTACATAGTATTTACAAGTTTTAATATATAATATTTTTAAAACAATTTTAATTTTTATAATCAATTGCAATTTTGCTGTGTATGCAACATTTTAAAAATATATAGTGATAATGGTTTTTTTAGGTTAGAGAAGGACTGGATTCATTCCTATTTAACCTAGTTGTTCTGGGATCATTAAAAACGAGTACGGGAAAAGTGTGGAGAATGAATAACAATGATACATGTATTATTGAAATAACCATAAACCATTCTGATGAACAATCAAACAATGAAGTAAGCATTTATTATAATAGTTAAGTTGTAAAAAGTTATTATAGGGTGTAATGGAATTTTTGCAAATGTCTTTACAAAGATTCCATTACACCCTAGGGTGGGGGCTTTTTTCTAACAGTTAAAAAATTTTTTTTTAAAGAGTGAAAAAGAATTTATAAATTAAACAAAAAATAAAATCAACTAAAAAGAAGAATAAATGAATGTTTAAAAAGAATAAAAGAAAAAGAAATATCTGAAAGAAAATAAGTAAAAAAGTATTGAAAATAGAAGTTAAAAAAAAAAGTTAATGAATGAAATAAAAGAAAAGAAAAAAAATAACGCTATTTAAACATAGAAAAAAGATCAGCAAATCAAGATTTTTTTATTTTTTCATATATATCTTTAGTTTTTTTTCATGTATTTTTTTAGTTTTTTTTAATATATTTTTATTTTTTTGTTTTGCTGTTATGTTTTGTCTTGTAGTAATGGTTTTTTTAGTTTTTTAGCTTATAAAGTTTAACTCATTATTTTTTGTTAGTTATTTATTTTATTTTTTAGTTATTAAATATTCTTTAATAGTAATATACAACATTTTTATACAGTTATATATTTTTTATTTTTATTTTCATTTTAGCCATGTATTATATATGTTTTATTCTACCGTGTATTTTTATTATTTATTTTTTCTTTATTTATTATTTGTTTTTGTTTTTAATTTTATGTTGTTTTTTTTTTTTGTTGTTGTTTTTTTGCTAAAGTACTAAACCTAATGTTTTGTTTTGCTTGTAATTTTTGTTGTAACCTTTGTTTTGTTTTGAGTTTCTCAGTGTTTTTCTGTTTATATTTTATTTATTTAGTCATAATATTTGCCATTTATTTTGGTTATTATGTTATAAGAAAATTTTTTTTAGAAATAGTCGTTTTTATGTCAGCGTTAATTTTTACGTTTTGTCAGTTTATTACTGTTTGTAACTGTAACTTAGTATGTATAAACAACTTTTGTAATAATATATTTATTCTTCGAAAAAAATAAGATAAATCAATTTGTTTATCAATGGTTCAGCTCCTAGTTTTTATATTCTTTAGGGCAAAAACAATTAAAAAATTTTGACCAATAAATGCAAACTTGTTTTGTTGAAATGTGAGTACGCTTTGTGAATGAAAAATGCCAGTTTATATTGGAACTTCCTGGCTCACATTTTTTAACACTATTATGCTAAAGTAAGAACTAAAAACATTTTGACTTTTGAAAAAATGCTATTAAAAACAAATTATTATTATAATTTTTTTTTTGTAAATACAATGCATTTTAGTGAAGCTCCACCGAACAGTGAACGCTTTAGGGATGAAAAATAAGTTAAAAAGAGTTTAACAAAGTAAGATAAAAGTACAAAAGGACAGATGTCCAGTGGAAAACAAGTAGCCTCAGAGTAGAAAAATACTTAAAATCTGATCTAAGCAAAATGTAGTAAAAATTAACAATAACAATAAACAGTATCCAAGGAAAGTAAGAGTCATTAATTGTTGTGATACTAAATTGTTGTTAGTGTTGTTAGTATTATTATTATTATTATTATTATTGTTATTAATACAAACATTATTTTTATTATTATTACCATTACTATTTTAATAATTGTCATTAGGTGTTTACTTAATGTTAGTAGTTATGCTATTTGTAAACAAACTTGAAATGTAGTTCCAAATATTTCATATATATATTGATTGATGGTTGTTTAAAAAAAAGATTCAGCTTTTGTAATAATGACCAAAGTTATTATAAAATACCAACCAAAATAATGGTACAAATATATTTCACTTTTGAAAGTTTGTATTTTCTAATAAAAAACATAAATAAAAAACATAAACTTATAAAAATTATTTGTATGAAAAACATTCTTTAGAGTTTTTGTTCTTTTTATTCTATTTTAGGGTTCTAGAGGAAGTCAATGTTACAGTATAGTTGCTAACATGCTTCCATGTATTACATGCATTTCTCCCAACAAGGTTTTGAGTGTGCTCCAAAGTCAAGGTATTTTAATTTTTTTTTTTTCAAATAACTTTGAAAAAGTTTTAATTTCAAAAGCTTATTAAATGATTGAAATAAAATATCTACTTTTGTAATAAAAAATTTTTTTATTTTCTAATTTTCCAATATAGCTTATAAATTATTCTTTAACTTTTTTAAATAAATAATTAGAAGTTCTTAAAAATATTTGGTATGACAATGGAGAGCACAAAAAATCCTCAACGCAACGTGTTTGTCAGTATTTACAAATGTATGACACAAATAGATCCATATTGAATACGTTCACTTACAACCCAACTCATCCTGCTGTAAATCTTCAAAATAGTTTAAAGATATTACTGAAGTAAGTTTCTTTTTAAATATTTTTTTCTAAAGAAAATATACATTCTAGATTTTTTTTTAATGTTTTTTAAATAATTGACAAATATGATTAGTAATATGATTTTTTATTGAATTATTGAAGCGAATGTTTCTTTTTTTATATAACTTAGTATTTTTAAAATATGTTGATTTAATGTTGTAATTTAATTGAAAATCAATTTAAACAATGTTGTAGTTTATAGATAATAAAATCAAAATTTAAAAGACCATTTCAATGTATTTAACCATTACAATGGATTATATACCTAAGTCAAATAAGCCTTTACAACTTATTTGTTTTAAATTATACAATTTTATGACATTCTTTATAATATACCCTTAAATTTATTATTAAACAGTTTTAATAACGCAAAATGATGTTCAAACTAGACTTCAAGTACTTGATAAGTCGAAATCAGTCGGTTTTGATTTTGTTCATCCATATATTTTAAAAGAATGCCGCTCGCCAATATCATACCCATTATATTTAATTTTCAAATTGATAGAAACAGGTACCCTACCAGATATGTGAAAGAAGGCAAATGTAATGCCACTTTTTAAAAAAGGAAGTAAATTAAAAGCATCTAACTACAGACCAGTCTTGTTAACTTTAATACCATGTAAAGTGTTGGAAAGAATAATAGCTGATTGTATCATGCAACATCTCATAAAAAATAATTTACTTTTAAAAAAACAACATGGTTTTATGAAAAGCAAGACCTGTACAACAATCCTATTAGAATTTCTAGATATTTTAACAGAAGCGTTCCACAATGGAACACCAGTAGATGTATTGTACACAGACTTTAAAAAAGCTTTTGATAGTGTTTCACATAAAAAAGTTTTTATCCAAGTTATTGACTTTTAATATCTCTGGTAAACTTCATATGTGGATAGTCTGTTTCTTAGCTAATAGAAAACAAAGTGGTTTTTGGTGAAAGTGTGACAGATTGGGTACTTAGTGGTGTACCACAAGGGTCTGTTCTAGGTCCTCTTCTTTTTTGGTATTTATAAATGATTTACCAGAAAATTTTATTAATGAATGTCGTTTATATGCTGATGATAATAAGATAATTGCACCTATTTCTTTTAGAAAATGATTTACAATTGTTTCAAAATGATATAAATAGACTTGGCGAATGGTCATCAAAATTAAATTAGGATTAAATTTTGAAAAATGTAAAATTATTTACTTTAGTTCAAATAATAAAGAATATTCATATTTTATGAACAATAAAAATACATTAATGGAAATTGAACAGTCAAAACTAGAAAAAGACATTGGTGTTTATATATCAAGTGATTTAAAATGGGCCAAACAAGTAAAATATGCAGCTAGAAAAGCAAATAGTATGCTCTCACTACTAAGTAATACATTCAAGTACAAGAATAAAGATCTAATAAAAACACATATGTACAATATGTTAGACTAAACTTTGAGTTTTCAATCCAAGCATGAGTCCGTATTATACAAAAGATATTAATGTTCGTTGGACTTTTTCTTATTAATATAATTAATTAAGAAAAAGTCTAACGAAGAACTACTAAAATGATACCAGAGCTAAGACATCTCGAGTATGAAAAAAGATTGGAAACTTTGGGTTTGACTACTTTGAAGACTAAAAGGCTAAGGTGCGACTTGATCCAGCAATTCAAAATATTTAAAGGTATTGAAATCATTGATATTAGGCAAAATCAAACAATGAACTTTATTTGCTCATCAGGTCCTGCAGCTAACATTATAGGAGCAAAACATCGAATGAAACCTGAATTGGTCAGAAATTGTTTGAAAAGGCAATATTTTTTCAGGAATAGAGTTGTTGATGGATGGAATAGTCTACCAGCCGAAGTTGTTCAATCTACTACAGTTAAAAGCTACAAACTAAACTTGCAATCGGTCGACTTAAAAACAATAACAAACAAAATAAAAACCAAGAAAGCTTATTATTAACGTTTTTATTATTAAGTAACTGAACTAACTTGTTCATTAATTAAATTATACCGACTGTCATAGATATTGCCTGGCGCTTTGTCTCAACAGCATTAATTATTATTATTATAATTAGATAATAGCTAATAAATATAAATTTATGTTTTTAGTTTTTTTGTTAATAATTCGTATCTTTAGATAAAAGTTACTTTAATTTTTTTGAGCCACTGTTTTGTTTTGAGAAATTAGAAAACTTTATTTGTACAAATCAGGTATCAAAAGTACCAAAATTATATTTAATTGAAATTATTTAATTATGAATATAATTTGTTACCTGGTAACTAAATGATACCAGCTGTTACTTAAACTAAAATTGTTTTAATAAAGACTTAATCCTCAATGGTTATGATCAATAATTTTTTTTTTATGATAATGGTTTAATTTTTTATATATATATTTAGATATTGTGGAGTCCAAGATCCTTGCTGGAGTGAATTGAGAAATTTTATCCATTTTTTTAACACACAACTTATTGACTGTGAGCAATGTGCTTTTACAAGCATTCATGTTGTTGAAGATTTAAGAGGATTTAAAATATTTGTTATTAGTTTCCTGTTAGAAATGGCACAGGTTATTAAAAAATTATGTTTTTCGATTTTATGTTTAATAACAATATAAATTTTTTATATTTTCTATACTTATATTTATAACTTATAAATAAGATAATAAGATATAACTTAAAAGAATAATATTTATATTTTATAATAGTATACATAGGAATAATGTTAAAACATGTTAATATTTAAAACGCAAAGATTTAAAAAAAATTTCCTTCAACAAAGTATAGCTGATGTTAAATATAGGTTAAATATACGATGTAATGTTTGTTAATGTTGATTGCATAGTAAAAACATGTTTACTTTAGTAATTAATTGAACATAACATTTAAACTTATATTTTCAAAACTAAAAATTTTATTAAAGTAAAGGTTTTGTAATTTTGTTCATTAATTTTTCTGCCAAAATTAACATTTTTTTTTTGGACCATCAGAAGCATTGCTTCATTTTATTGTTTACATGTTGAGCTACACAACACATTATATAACTTAAATTACAAAATATAAGAATATTGAAAGAAATATGTAAATATTAAGTTAAGAATACAACCTTAACTCCTACCTCTTTGTTGATGCATCCATGTTTCCTTGTGAGTGTCATTGTTTCATAAATCTTTTGTCTTTTTTTATGCTTTCCAAACAGTGTTTTGTAAGAATAGTTTATTATTTTGTGATGTTACATTACTGCAACTTGTTCCAATAATATTGATGTATACCTGAAATATTAATTCAATTATTGCAGTTTCAACAACATTTTTAGTACAAAATGAAATTTTTTTACCAACAGCTTGGCAATCAGTTCCTTAATTTAAAAAAACAGAGAGGACATCCAATAACTTCTAAACATTAAGGCAATATTTATTAAAAGATATAGATCGTGTAACCAAAATTGTGCAAGATTAATAACAGTAAGAAAAGAACACAGTAAGGCTTTCTATCCGATTTCTACCTTAATGCAGTTATCTATCATCACCACATCTGCATCAATACTTGTGGTTGTGCCTACAATTACATTTGTAATTTATGCAAGAAACAAATTTCTTAAGAATTGATGTTACATGACCATCACAAATATCTAGAATTTTCTAACTTAGTAAATTCCATACTGGAAAAGTCTAACTTATTAAATTCCATACTTTAGGCATAATTAGACTTGTAGACATAGTTATCAATCCTTAATGTAAAAAATTGTATATGGTACTGTATATATACCAGGTATACCGGTATGAAGTGAGCGTCAAGATACAAATGTCTCGATAGGGAACATTTGTTGTGAACGAGCCTTTATTTTTTTTTTGTTTGTTTGCTATGACATCTGTGAAACATATTTAGTATACATCAAGTCATTGAACAGACAACATCATATTTTTTCTTCGTGTTAAAAATGTCAAATTTTGTACCGGAAAGTGATGATTTGCGGAAAGCATTAATTTTTTGTTTTCATTTGAAGAAAAGTGCTGCAGAGTCGCATCGAATGCTTGTCGAGGCATATGGTGATCATGCTCTATCAGAAGCAACATGCAAAAAATGGTTTCAACGGTTCAGAAATAATGGTTTTGATGTGAGAAATGAAGAATGTGGAAGACCACCAAAAAAGTTTGAAGACGCCGAATTGCAAACAATATTGGATGGAGATGACACTTTGAGTCAAAAGCAAATGGCAGAAATGTTAAATGTTGCACAACAAACAATTTCTGACCGTTTAGAAGCTATGGGAAAGATCCAAAAGTGTGGAAAATGAGTGCCACATGAATTGAATGAAAGACAGATGGAAAACCGAAAAAACACTTGTGAAATTTTGCTTCGAAGACACAAAAGAAAATCGGTTTTGCATCGGATTGTTACTGGCGATGAAAAATGGATTTATTTTAAGAATCCTATATGGAAAAAATCATGGGTTAATCCGGGACAACCATCAACATTGAGTGCAAAACCAGATCGATTCAGCAAGAAGACAATGCTGTGTGTTTGGTGGGACCAGAAAGGTGTGGTGTTCCACGAGCTCCTAAAACCTGGTGAAACCGTCACTACTGATCGCTACCGACAACAAATGATCAATTTGAACCATGCATTGATCGAGAAACGACCAGAATGGGCCAGAAGACACGGCAAGGTAATTTTGCTCCATGACAATGCACCTGCACACAAAGCAAAACTGGTTCAGGATACAATCAAAACACTTGGCTGGGAGCTGCTACCCCACCCGCCGTATTCACCAGACTTGGCTCCTTCCGACTACCATTTGTTTTCATCGATGGGACACGCATTGGCTGAGCAGCACTTTGATTCCTACGAGGAGGTCGAAAATTGGGTGTCTGGTTGGTTTGCTTTAAAAAACGAACAATTTTATTGGCGTGGTATCCACAAATTGCCAGAAAGGTGGTCAAAATGTGTAGAAAACAATGACCAATACTTTGAATAAAATGTTTTATACTTTCCCATTAATAATTAGTGTTTTATTTTCACAAAAAACGCTCATTTCGTACCGGTATACCTGGTATACATATATATATATATAAATATATACACATACATACATACATACATACATACATACATACATACATACATACATACATACATACATACATATATATATATATATATATATATATATATACATATATATATACATATATATATACATATATATATACATATATATATATATATATATATATATATATATATATATATATATATATATATATATATATATATATATATATATGTGTGTGTATATATATATATATATATATATATATATATATATATATATATATATATATGTATATATATATGGCATTACTTTTAATTTATCAAAATCTGATAGGAGAGAGATCTGATGATGAGGGAGATTAAATCATTCTATTTAATATTTGATTGTTCTTTAACTCAGTCAACTTAAACAAATTTTAACTTATACTTTTACATTTTGAAGAATATGTTTTGAATTTAAGCTTTAAGTCATTTTCTTCCAAAACAATAAATGGGTTTAAACCAACTTTCTAAAAGTATAACAAGATTGTCCAAGTACTACTTCTGTCATTATTGCTTCTATTATTACAATGTCACCTGTGGCGTTTCGACCACTCCACTCGCCATTTTTATCACATTTCATAATACAAACTGTTTTATCATATATTCAACGATTTATTTTCAAGACAAACAATGCCTCTTGAAATCAAAGATTTAAAACTTCAAAATGTTTACAGTCCATTTTTTATGTAGTTTTGCTTACTTTAGCATTACTATTATTTTTATCAAAGCATTTTAATTAAAATATATTTGTGCTTTTTAAATAAAAAAAATATGAAAAATAGTTAAATTAAAGCATTTTTTATTCATTTTTTCAAATAATTATGAACGGTAGTGTAGACATTTTAAATTATTAATATCAATAAATGCAATTTCTGTAAATTCAAGTTTTCATTGTTTAAAATTTTTGTTTAATTTTTGTGTTGTTATTATAATTCAGGATTTCTCAACTCGCTCAATATCATTAGATGATTATTATGATTCTAGTGAGCTAATGATTCAGCTTAAAAGAAAATGGGAACACAGGTTTTTTTATTTTCTAAGAAAATCAGTATAATGTTTGATTATTTTACTTTCCTTGGTTTTCATATTTTTTAATTTTTGGGCTTGCTTTATATGATATTATGTACAAAATAAATATTTTAAACCATACAAAAAAAAAAAAAAAATTATAAATATGTATTGTGAACTCTTAATTTTTTTACTTACATTTTAGTTGTTTTTTCTTTCTTCATTAGTTCTCATCCTTACTTATTCTTCAACCAAGACCATGTCACAATGACGTTCTTTGGATTTAACATTGATTTAAATGGTAACTTACTAGATCCAGATCGTCAAACCATAATAAAACAAAGCATAATGACAAAAGATCTTTATGCTGATTTGAGTCGTCAGATGCGAGGTACTGAATGGGGGTGTTTGAACACCAATTATAAAACATTATCTCGGTAAGCAAAAATTAAAAAATTTTTTTATTGTTATATGGTCCAATAAAATTGATTCATAAGTTTAACTATAATTTCTTTAAAATAGGACATCAAAGTTAGACATACTTTGTCGTGTGATTGGTGTGGAAAGTTTTGATCCAGACCCTTCATATGAGTTGACTGTTGACAATATGAAGAAAATTCTTGCTATTCATATGAGATTACGGTTTTTTAAGTTTTATTTTATTTTTTAAATATGTTTTATAATGATATATGTGTGTGTGTATGTGTGTGTGTGTGTGTGTTATTACAATTAATGTTTTTGTATAACATTTTAGATGTGATATTCCAGTGATAATGATGGGAGAAACAGGTTGTGGTAAAACAAAACTGATTAAATTTATGTGTGCTCTTCGAGCTGGAAAAAAAGGAATTCAAAACATGTTACTTGTCAAGGTAAATCTGTCTTGTATCTTCAAATGTGTGTGCATACATATGTATATATATATATATATATATATATATATATATATATATATATATATATATATATAATATATATATATATATATATATATATATATATATCAGATTTCTGATGAGTCTTTTTTTGATTTCTAGATATTGATACACACAGTGTAAAATAAAAAAAGTTTAATAAATGTTTTTCTACTAATTTATATATATATATATATATATATATATATATATAATATATATATATATATATATATATATATATATATATATATATATAAAATTGGTCAAGGAAATCACAGTGATTTAAGCAGAGCATTACATGTTTGGTGTGGAAAGTTATCATTAATGGTCTCTTCTCTTACTACAAGAGTTGGTTTCTTAGAAGCAGAAAATAAAAATCAACGAAAGGAAATTGATTTTCTTAAAAATAATAACAATGCAAATATCACTTATCAAAATAATATTCGCAGTGCTGGGCAGGTTTTGTAAGTAAAGAAAAGGACATTGCTGCCAAAGAGAAAAATGCTGCTTTGTTTGCCAAAATTTCAAAAGAAAACAACAAAAAAAATAGAATTTCAAATAATATGATCATAAGTGGTCTTACTGAGTCAGTAAATTTGAATGATGATAATAAAGCGATTGATGAAATTCTTACCATTCTTAAAGTATCTTCTGATGATGTAAAAGTCAAAAAACGACTTTAAAAGAAAAATGCCTCTCCTCCTATCTCTTGTGAGATCGACAATCAATTTAATTCTGTGTCTTCACCTCCTCCATTGGTTTTAATTGAATTCAAAAACTATGAAAAATGTCAATCAGCTTTGGCTAATGCGAGGGAACTAAAAAAATAAGTTTGGTTTAACGAAAGTTTATGTTCAACCAGATCAAACTGAAAATGAAAGAATTGCTCTCTCTAAACTTCATGTTGAATGTAGAATTAGAAACAATGCTCTTCCAAATTCTTTTGTGGATTTGCAAGGGAGGCAACTTAATTGGGGTACAAGAGATTGTAAAAAAGGATTTTGGTCTGTGCGATCTGGCACAATTCAATGGATCGAGCGCAAAGAATAGAACACCAAATTCTAACACTTACAGTCCTCTATCTTTTATATCTAGCTATTCTTTATCTGACCTCAAATGTCTTTATTTTAATCCAACATCTTTGGATAATAAATGGGATGAATTCCAAGCTAGAATTGCGTCACTGGATTACCCACACATCGTTGCAGTCACTGAAACGTAGTTCTCCGCCACATCTTCAACAAATCTTGAAAATTACACTGTATATCTTCGTAACAGGACAATTCCTGGAGGTGGCGTGGCTATTTATGTTAGAAAAGACATACATTCATTTAAATGTGAGTTCAGTGATGAACAAATTAGCGAGCAAATATGGTGTCAGATTTTAATTGGAAATAACATTTTGTTAATTGGTTGTATTTATCGCCAACCCTTCACTAAATATGAGTCTAATTTACAAATCAACAAGTCAATCAAATGTGCTAGATCTCTAATTGATGATGGTAAATTTACAAGTGTTCTAATTGTTGGTGATTTTAATTATAGTGATATCAGATGGAGTGATTTGGGTGGCAAATGTAAAAAGGGTAAACAGTCTAGTAAAATATTTTTAAAAACTATAGATGATTGCTTCCTATCTTAGTTTGTCACCAAACCAACATTTATCAATAACACACTTGACCTGGTGCTGTATGAAGACCCTGATTGTATTCATAATATTACAATTGGTCCTCCGCTTGGTTGTACTTAGAAAAACTATTTCCACAATTCACTCTTATGGGATTTTAAACTTAAAACATCGACCAAATCAATCAGACATCACAAAGTTAATTATATCTATGACAAAGGTGACTATAATGCCATTAGTGAAGGCCTAAAAGCGATCAATTGGTCGAACTTATTCACAAATAAATCAGCAGATGAAAGCTTTGAATTATTTAAAAACATTTACATTTCATTGGTTGAACATCACATTCCCAAATATAATATGTCTTTTAATTTTAAAAAATGTGATCCAAAATGGTTTAATTCTACTATTAAAGCAGCAATTAATGAAAAATTTAGATTATTTATGAAGTTACGCTGTTCTTCAAGCAAATTTAAAGATAGTATTCGAGTCTTGTACAACAAACAAAATCGTCTGGTGAAAAAGCTTGTTGCTGATGCTGTACTAAAGTATGAGAGTGAAGTCATTTCCGCTTGTAAGTCCTGTCCAAAAAAGTTTTATTCTTATATAAACAGCCAAAAGGCTTGTAAAAGTGAAATTCGATCTCTTTTTGACCACAATGGAGTGCAATTAGTAGATAATATGTCTATTGCAAATTGCTTAAATAATCACTTTTTTAAAGCTTTTTTATCACCTGAAACTCACTCCAAAGCTTCTGATTTTCCTCGAAGAACCGAAATAGTTTGCTCACCAGTTTCTAGCTCCTTGTCCAATTGTTGCAATATTGAAAAACTTTTATCTGCTCTTGACTCTTCAAAAGGCACTGGTAATGATGGAATCCATCCTAGAGTGCTAAAAATGTGCTCTAAAGAATTCAGTGTGCCTCTCTCTCTCCTGTTTATCAAATCGTTTTGTCAAATCTAGATCGTGTGTCACAAATCTTCTTGAAGTAATGGATATTATTACTTCTTTTTTTGATCTTTATTAACGACATGCCAGAATAGTCAAAAATAATTGCAAACTCTTTGCTGATGATAGCCAGTTGGTTGCCAAAATAAAAACAGTTGCGGACTTGGCTTTAGTTCAAAATGATATTGATATGATATGTAATTGGTCAAGACTTTGGTGCATGGAACTTAGCATAAATAAATGCAAGGTTCTAAAGTTCCGTGGTGGTTCCACAGACATCAATATCCCCTTGACAATGTTAGATAAAAATGGTAGTCAAATTCTTATTGAAGATGTATCCGTTGAAAGAACATTGGGTGTTCTGATACATAATAAACTGAAATGGTCAGATCAGATTAGTGATGCCACTCTCAAAGCTAATTCTATACTTGAGATACTCAAAAGAACTTTTAAAAAATGGAATCCAACTATGTTCGTGAAGCTCTATACAGCATATGTAAGACCGATATTGGAGTACGGTGCACCAATTTGGTGTCCTTTTTTTCTAAAGGACATTAAAAAGTTAGAGTCGGTCCAAAGAATAGCTACCAAACTCGTTCCACAATTTCGCAGCTTGAATTACAAGAAACGATTAGCATATCTCAGCTGAATGTAGAACAAGAGGAGATGTAATTCAATTTTTTAAAATTTATAAAAAATTAAATGTTGTTAACTGGCAACAGCAGATTAACAGAGCAAGTGCACTCCTATGTGATGGTCCTGCAGGTCATCTTCGTGGTGCCAAGCATAAAATTGATCAAGAATTATCGAAAAACTCTCAAAGACATAACTTCTTTAGAAAACGAGTGGTGTCATCATGGAACGCTTTGCCTGCTTCGGTAGTTGTTGCGTATTTCTCTGCATATTTCTTATAGCCTCCTCGTCTGTAGTAGCCTTCTCGGCCTTGAGGAGGTGAATTAAAATTAAAAAAATAAAAAAAAAATTTAGTTGATTGTTTCAAAAACAATTATGACAAATGGAATCGTTCTATCTCATGTCGGTCTACTATAGTCGGGTCTCGTTAGACACTCGGCTCATAGAAGTCAAACTTCTATTGTAGAAATACTATAATAATAATAATAGTAGTATATATATATATATATATATATATTATTATTATTATAATGTAGTTTGCAATTTATTTTATCATCGGTGAGTTTGTTGCACAAAATTTGTTGGTTGTGTGAATTAATAATTGATCAAATGTTTGGCATGCAGCTGTAACTAGTTTTATTGTGTTTCTGTTGAATATTTTGTGGAGCTTATGATGTAATGGAAAATGCAAGTCAATTAAATTTAAGAAAAGGTGGCCAATTTTTGTTGCCACATTTTTACTGTAAAGAAGGTTAAACCATATAATTTAATTAAGTTAAAACATCTGTTATAGTATGTAAACTTATCCTTATATAATTCTTTATAATAAAGTACAATATTTCTAGGGGTTATATATACTCTCGTTATTCAAGCAATATAAAAAAACCGTTAAAAAACAAAAACAAAAAATAATAAACAAATGATAAAACTTCAATGTAATGTGTTCTTGTGTCTTAAATAAGAAAAATAAGGTTTCTAAAACAACAACGTGACGTAATTGTCGTCGTCCTCATTCAAACCACCTTCATTTGGAAAGCACTGGTGAAACTGAATTTCCAAAGACTCTCTCACTTTTCTTTTAAAATAGTCTTCCTCTACTTAAACAGTATTGTTTTTATTCCAGCTAAAGGCACCATGGCAATTTCTGGAATGCCCCGCTACAGCTGAATTTTTCCATTTTCCATCAAAAGTTTGTTTTTGTTGTTGGTAAATGCGATTTGAAACCTTGAGTTTTATTTGACCTATATAGAGTTTTCCACAAGAACACTCCAGTGAAGTAAACTGAAGTATAGCCAGCATTTTTAAATATTTTTTTTTTGATTACTTAATTTTGGTACCCATGGCAGAGAAATATAGTTAAGTTCTAGTTTTTTGATGTTATTGTTGTTGTTTTGTTGATTATTTTGCTTATTGTTTTTAATTTTTTTGACAAACTTTTGAAGTATTTTTTTTTTTAAAACCATTTTCTATAAACATTTCTGTAAGAAACTTTAATTCATGATTTATGTTTTCTTTACTGCATAATGCAAAAGCTCTTTGGATAAAACTTTTAAATACACCATAAATTATTTTTGGATCATGACAAGAATGCAGCTTTATTTGCACATTTGTTATTGCATCTTTGCAATAGATATTAAAAAGGTATGTTCCAGATTTGTTATTTGTTATTGAGAGATCAAGAAAATTTCTTTTTTAATTTGATACTTGTGTGTTGATTGTTTAACAAGTCAAGAAAATGTTCTGATTCTGCCTCATTATTAAAACGGGAATGGATATCGTCAACATACCTTTTGAATGATTTTATACATATTGGTGGTGTAAGATATTGTGCCTGTATTAAAGCTTTTTCTTCATAATGTTGCAGAAAACTCTCTGCCATTACTACCATTAATGATAAACCTATAGGAGCGGCATCTTCTAATGTGTGTATATTGTTTTCATGTAAAAAATAACAGTTTGATAAACACAAATCTAAAAGTATTTTTATTTCTGAAAATGATAATTTTGAATTAAAGACAGGATTATTACGGAGTTGTTCTAATAGAATATCGATTGATTCTTTAACTGGTATTGAAGGGTAAAGATAACCAATATCGAAGGAAACTTGAAATTCACCAGGATCAATATACTATGTTTAAGCACATTCAACAAATTGTTTTGAATTTCGAAGTTTTGTTTTGTTTTGATTGGAGGTAGGTTGAATGAGATTAACTAAATAATTGGATAATTTATATGTAGGTGACCCTATTGTGCTTACTATAATTTGCATTAGGTAGTTATTAGTTGGTTTGTGCGCCTTGATGACACCATATAATCGTGGAGGAGTGGCATCACTTGGATAAATTGGTCTATATTCATTTTTTCTAAACTTTCTAGATTTCGTAAAGTATTCTGAACTTTGCAAAGGAGTTTTTGAGTTTGATCATAGTTTATGATTTTAGATTTTCCGAGTTGTTCTTTAATTTTTTTAAGAGCATCAATTTTATTAATTCGAACAAAGCCTGATCCTTTATCAAACGGATAAATACTTTTGTGTTGTTAGACTTAAGTTCTCTGAGAGCTTTAAACTAATCTTTATCTAAATTTGTAGAATCCGGTTTATGCATTTTCAAAACTCAAAGCTCATCTTGTCTAAGTTTATTTGCATCAGTGTTTTTATTTGAATACTTTAACTTTAAAGCTGCCATTTCAGTTATACTTATTATATCCATATATGGAACTTTATTCGGAATAGGAACAAAGTTAGGTCCTAAATCAAGTAATTTTGTGTGATGTGTTGGGATATTATCAGTACATAAATTAAGTGTTACCTCTTTCATAAACTTGTACTTTCTTTGGTTATTGTTACCTTTATACCGACTTTCCTTTACTAATAAATCAAATTTGTTTTTTAGTTAAACCATATAATATTTCTTTTTTGTTTATTAGTAATAAAAGGATTTAGATTTGAATGATATTGGAGATTGGTGTGAAATCCAGACTTTTCTAATGTGTCATTATAAATAGGAGCAGTCTTTTGGAAAAATTTTTCACTTGAAGAATTGGAAGGTAATCGATGTCCAATTGAGGTTGGTAATTATTAGTGGATGGTTGGAATTAGCATGGATATAATTTAACATACTATCAGGTTTATGGTAAGGTTGAAAAGTGCTGGTATTAAGATTAAATGTAACATCAAGATAATTGACAATATTCATATTAGATTGAATGGAAATACTGAGGTTGTTTTTTTTAAATATTTGAGTAAAATGCTTCTTCATTTTTTCCATTTTTGGACCGCTTGCGATTTTAAACACTGCTAAGCCATTGTCTCTATATAATCCAAAAAGCAGATTTTTTATAAAATTGCAAAATTTAGAAGAGAAGAAAAATACCAACTAACTCGCACACCTCCGTTCCATCAAATGCACCCATGGTAACATCAAACAAACCGCTTGATTTTTTGATCCTAACTTGGTCATTGGTGAATGATAAAGTCTTTTAATTTTAGGGCAATTAAAGAAAAGGGTAAAAGTCAACGATGTCTAAAACATGAAATTTATTAAAATGTTTGTCATTGATGTTTTTGAACCAATTTATTATATTTTGTGTGCTATTCCACTGATATAATTGCAAAATATTTCTTAGATTAGTGTTAATATCTGATAAAATATGTTTACTTATTCTACCAACTTCATTCTTAGCTGGGTTAATTAAAGGAACAGTAGGATTATTTAAAAATATAGGTTTATGGCCTTTTAATGTAATAAAACAATTGGAAGAACTGTTTATATTAATTTTGTTAAAAACATCATGATTTTTCAGAATATTTTTTCCTTCTTTATTAATGCGATCTTTTATTATAGAGTTGGTTTTTTTATAATTAGATGTAGTAGCATTCATTAACAACTTATTGTATTCGTCTTTTGATAATTTATATAAAGTTGAAGTTTTATCTGCGCAAGTGTAAGTATACGTTGAGTTTTCGAAGTATATGAAGTATGAGTGTCGAATAGAAGAAATGTCTTTTTTTAATTTATTCTGGAAGCTGCATTGAACCATCCTAAACTGTATGTTTTTAATTAATTTGAATAAATTGCATTCAAATGCACGCATTTCTTTAATCTATTGTGGACAATGTGGTGTGTTAATACCATAAGAATTAAAAAAATATAAATATATATATATATATATTTATAAGTATATATATATATATATATTTATAAGTATATATATATATATATATATATATATATATATATATATATATATATTTATATATTTATAAGTATATATATATATATATATATATTTATAAGTATATATATATATATATATATATATATATATATATATATATATATATATATATATATATGTATATATGTATATATATGTATATATATATGTATATATGTATATATATGTATATATATATATATATATATATATGTATATATATATATATATATATATATATATATATATATATATATATATATATATATATATATATATATATATATATATATATATATATATATATATATATATATATATATATATATATATATATATATATATATATATATATATATATATATATTAGTGATTTACAAATGGCAAAAATCTATTGTCACTATTAAAGGTTTTAATGTATTATCTAAGGGTAATATATATAACATATAATATATATAACATATATAACATGTACCTATACATCAGCAGTGACTCGACCTACTAGCCTATGCTATTGGTAACCAGCAACCAATAAACTGGCTTAACGATTGGCCGATTAATCGGCCGGTGGCATCAGTTGATTAATCAGCATTAGCTAATAAAGCTAAACCAAACTGGTACATAGGCACACCTTGTATATGCAAATTGCATACCTAATATTAAGATATTACCTTTATATATTGCATGAATTATATATGAATTATATGCATTGAACCCTATCATTAGCCTCATTGGCCTTTACCACCGGTACATCACTAATAAATGTTTATATATATATATATATGTGTGTGTGTATGTGTGTGTGTGTGTGTGTGTGTGTGTGTGTGTGTGTGTGTGTGTGTGTGTGTATATATATATATATATATATATATATATATATATATATATAAATTAGAAGAAAATCACTTATCAAACTTATTTCATTTTATGCCCTGTTTTTTATTTTTTATTATTTCATTTTATTTGTCTGTTCTTTTAAGAACATTAAGCCATTCTATTTGTAGAAAATATTTCAAATTATTTGTATATGTATACACACACACATGCGTGTGTGATAAAATTGTTTTTTTTTTTGTCCTATTGAGGTAATCTTTTGCGTATTATTGAGCTTATAATGTATTTTGTTACAATAAAAAGGTTCATGGAGGAGTGACTCATCAAGACATACTCATAAGAATTGAACAAGCAAAATGTTTAGCAAAAGAAAACTATGAGAGTTACAAGATAAATACAATTTTGTTTTTTGATGAAGCAAACACATCTGATGCGATTGGACTTATTAAAGAAATAATGGTAGATAAAAGAGCAGATGGTAAACCATTAGGATTAGCTGAGTGTGGACTTGAAATAATTGCTGCTTGCAATCCTTATAAAAAGTAAGTTAGTTTTAACATATTTTCATTTAACAGAAAGTATGTTAAATATATTAAAAAATAATGAATAATAAAAAAATGGTAAGACTTATCAATCATTATTGTTTTATAATTTTATGTTTAAAATTAATATTTTTAATATATTTTTGTATAGTTATTATTTTGTAAATATTATTTTTATAAAGATTTTAAGATATTTTATTAAAAAAGTTCTGCTTAAAATTTATATATTTATTTTGAATTAAATTTTAAAATAGTTTAAACAAAAAAAAAACATTTTTTCAAGGCATTCTGAAAATATGATAAAAAAATTGGAATCTGCTGGTTTGGGATATCATGTAAATTCCAAGTCTACATATGAAAAAATAGGTATATATAGAGTTTAATTTTTATATTTGCAAACTTTTTAGAAGTAATACAATATTTAATATATATATATATATATACATATATATATATATATATATATATATATATATATATATATATATATATATATATATATATATATATATATATATATATATATATATATATATATATATATATCAGGTGAACAGTGTGATGTCATACTGAAATAGCCTGCTGCTTGGGGCTTCAGTACATACATCAACTAAAAAAAAGCCTGACTCACAGAAGAGTGTTGCTACATTGACTGAGGGTTTGGCTTGGGACAGCAATCTTAGAAATTTGGTGGTAAGCCATCTGTTTTTGTGGTTTCAAAGCTGAACCATTTTTCACAAACGAAAACATGAACTTCAGAGTTTATGTAAAATATTAAATTTTTATTTATTACCTGAAATAATGATTCACCTGTTTTCTGGGCTGGTTTTGTATTACTCAAAGGGTGTAATCAAACGGTATCATCAACATAACATGAAGTTTGCCCCCCCCCCCCAAAATGTAACCAAATTTGCCACAACTTAGTTTGAATGAAAATTTTTTAATTAAATTGATCTATGTATTGCAAAATAGAGATCTATCAATTCCACCCAATTTGCAGTGTTATATCAGGAAATAGTATGAAACTTGCAATCAGCCCAAAGGCGATGTTTCTCGAAGTTTTACTGTGTTTGGAGACAAAATTAGTTAAGTGGTTCGCAAAATATTTCTAAAATCCCAAAGATTGTTATCATCCTGGGCAGTCTTTAAATGTAAGTTACTACAGTGTGAAAATTACTAGATCATGTAAAATATTGCTTTAACATTTAGGTGATATCCCATTGCGACAGTTGGTTTATCGTGTACATCCTTTACCAACTAGCATGGTTCCACTTGTTTGGGATTTCGGTCAATTGGATTCTGAGACTGAAGAAGCCTATGCAAGACAAATAATCTTAAGATTTGTGAGAAAATTATAATAAGTTTTTATTCATATTTTCCAATCACTTTATTATATTATATTATCACATTTGTGTACTTAAACAAGAAAATATCATCAAAAATAATCACACAATAATAAGAATTGCAATATATTTTGTTTTATGTGTAAAAAAAAATCTAAAACTTAACAGAAATATTCATTTATCATTATTGATATTTTTATTATTTAATGTATTATGCTTTATATTTTTTATATTAGATAAAAAGTTAGATAGAAAAGATTAGAAAAGGAGATAAGAAGTTTATACTAAGATGTAGTTTGTTGCATAAAATATCTTGATCTGTTTTATTTAACATGTTGCATAAAGTTTATTGTTAATGCAAGAGATATTTAATTTAAAAACATTTAGATGTGTTGTAAAAGGTTATAACATGTTTTTATTGAAAATTTTAAAACTGTTGAAGAAAATAATCTTACAAAATGAATATAGTATTGGTGATTACTTCTTTTGTGTAGGTAAATGAAGGAAAGCTACCATATGACAATCTGTTTTATGAGTTGATTGTTTGTGTACTTAAAGAATCTCAAGCTTATATGAGAAGACAAAAGGTTTAATTTGATATTATTTTTTTTTAGATTTATAGTAAAAAAAAAAATTAATTGATTTAAGTTGCTTTTAAAAAGATTTGATGTCTTAAAAACATTTTTATTGGTTTTAGCAGAAGCATCAACTAATCCTTAAAAAAGTAATTTGTTTATTCCCTATAGAGATTCTGTTTTAACATGGTTTTAACATAAAATAGTGTGTGTGTTTACATATATGTATATATATATATATATATATATATATATATATATATATATATATATATATATATATATATATATATATATATATATATATATATATATATATATATATATATATATATATATATGTGTACATTATCTATATGTACACTGATACACACATATATATATATATATATATATATATATATATATATATATATATATATATATATATATATATATATATATATATATATATGTACATTATATATATACACTGGCCTTGTTTTAATGCGATATGCGTAGAGCAATTTTGGTTAAGCAACTTTTATCATTTTTTAACTTTCAAATTATTCTATAAACGGTAAGATAAAAGAAGTAGTAATAGTTATAGTAATATATTTAAATAAGTCTTTATAGATTACATGACAAATAAATAAAAAAACAATCCAATAAACAGATTAAAAAACAAAAGCATTTTTTTTTTTTTTTTTTTTTTAAATGACACACACACACAAATAAATGTATACAGGTCTTGTTTTAAAAAATGCTTGATGCAATAGCTTAATGTGAACTTGACGTCATAAAGTTCTCTATATTTATTTTATTTTTCAAAGACATGAACTGTTTTAAATCACTGCAATAATAATAATTACCATAAAATGTGTTAAATGTTATTTAAGATTTTTTTTTTTTTAATTACTTTTAGGAAATATTTATTTTCTTTTATTTTTTGTTAATATTAAATAGTTAAACCTAATATTACATTTTTAAAAATGTTTGATAAAAACAAATTTGTTTCTTTTCTCCACATTTGCATAAATAAATTAAAACTTGTTAAATTTTTGAATTTTTAAATGATTATTTCTTAAATTTCTAATTGCAGCTTTGCAACAAGAAACGATTTTTTCTTTAAGAAAAATTAGTGAGTAACAAATAAAAAAATTACGTTAATTTATTTATTAATTTATTAAAAGTTTATTATTTTATTAACAACTTTGTTGTGAAAGCAAAGACTATTTTTTTGAACATCATTTATCAAAATTACATCGCTGTATCGTTTATTAAAAAATTCTTGCTGCAATTTAACTTGCGTTATAAAAGAAAAAGTTTAACTTATGTATAGTGCAAATTTTTGATGCATCTGTTTATTTAAAATTTAATTTTGAGTAAAATATGGTTTAGGAAGGAAAACCGAAAAAACAATTGCAATAAAAATAAGCTAATATTTTTCTAATAACAAATAAAATTTAAATATTGAACAATATTTAGTAATATTTTAAAATAAATTTGACAGTTAAGTTGAACCCAAGCATTAACTTTAATTTTAATAAACTTAAATATATTTTTAAATCAAAATTAAATTATATACTTTTAAAATCTAAATTAAATTATATATATTTTTTTATCAGAATAAAATTATTTATTTTTATTAAATAAGTTTTAAATTAAATGATATTTTTTTTGTCAGAACTAAATTTTATTATGATCTTTGCTTCAAGCTTAAAGTATAAGTGTTTTTCAAGTGAAAAAATGAATCATTACAATAAAATAAAAACAAAATAAAAAATTTTTATTTGAAGTTTTTTTCATTAGTAAAAATTTTTATCTAACATAATTGTAATTCAAACTTTTATATCTAACATAATTGCAATTTAAACTTTTGTAACAAATATTTTTACATAAACATCATTCAAAAGTTGTGTGTGTGTGTGTGTATATATATATATATATATATATATATATATATATATATATATATATATATATATATATATATATATATATATATATATATATATAAGTATGTATGTATGTATGTATATGTAGGCCTTGTTATGAGATTTCATTGTGTAATAAAAATGCTTAACACTTTTAAATGTGACTTAACTCACCATTGATATTTGATATATTGATATGTCAAATCTTTTCTATACACACTGTCCGTCAAATGTTTTCTGTCACCTTTCAATACAAAATAAACTGGTTAATATTAGTACTTTAATTTTTAATAATTAATATGAATAATAAAAGATTTTGTAATAGAAACATAATGAAAAATGGAAACTAAGTAAATTGAACATTATTTTGATTATTTTCCCAATTTTTCTTTCTTTGAAGTAATCCCCCATCCTTTAGTCTAAAATTTCTGAATAAAATTTTGTTATTTTTTGCCTTATTTCTTGAATATAAATGGTAACATTTTACTCCATCACTGTTACAAATATTCCCAGAGTTGTTATTAATTTGTCATATCATTGTCTAGTTTATCCAACAAAAACTCTATTAGATTACTATACGGTGAGTGAGGGGCCCAATCCATTTATGTTAATGTTTTGTACACTCTTTTGATAAATTATAATTTTTACACAGTTTTAATATGTGCTTAGGATTGTTGTCTTACTTAAAAATAAAGCAAATACTTACGATTTTTTGTTCATGTGGAAAAGCATGTTGCTAAGAAACACAGTTATCATATCATCAAAAAAAAAAGTTTTATTAAGAGTTTGATTCTGAATAAAACATTTATGTTCATAACATTAATGTTCATTTTTATAATAAAATTGACACTTTATGATGTGGTACAAAAAAGCTTTAGCAGTTATTTTAAATTTTCTAAATTTAGTTTCTAAATGGTAAAAGAAACAACATAGGATAAAAAAATTTTATTGCAGCAATTTTTATCAAAATCCTATGAAAAATTTATTCTAAAGTAACTAAAAAGATTTAATATTTCTAAAAGATTTAACTAAAAAAATCTTCTCCTTCTTTACCCACAATTAAACTGAAGGTTTTGTATCACAGTTATTTAAATAACTGTGATACAAAACCTTCAGTTTAATTGTGGGTAAGGAAGGAGAAGATTTTTTTAGTTAAATCTTTTAGAAATGTTAAATCTTTTTAGTTACTTTCTACCAGTTACTTCTTTTAACTGCTAATAAATTGGAGGTTTTGTATCAGAGTTTTTGTTCTCCTATTTTAGTTGCTTTTACCATGGCAAATTTTACACAATTTTTTAGCTAGTTTATTACAAAACTTATTTTTAGAAAGCTTGCTTTTTTAAATACATCATTCAGGAGTGGTGAGATGGAAGGAAAATGTTTGGTTCCAGTTCTAAGTTTTTTTTATCTTATGATTCTAGCTCGGCATTTTTTGAATTTATCACTCCAGCTCCCAAATTTTTTTCTTTGGCTCTAGCTCCATAACATAAAATATCTTTTGATTAAATATTTTATGCATTAAAATGTTATTTTTGTGAAAAACTATGAATACCATTACCAGCTAGTACCCAGATGCTACATAGACATAGAATGGATGGGAAGCCATTCCAGAAACTACTAAACAATAATTAAATTTAATTGAAAATTTAAACTAAAGAGAGTTGAGGAGCCAACAGTTTTTTTAATAACTCTGTTGATTTTTAAAAACCCTACAGCTCCAATTTCCATGCCTTTTCCTCCAAAAATTTCTTGCTCCCAAGACTTTGACTTCCTACCCCTGCTTTCATTGTTAATTTTAAAATTAAAGCAGTTGTCCTGTTGCAAATTTTATATATTCTTGATGCAATTTCCTTCATATTCCATTAATATTTAAAACCTGAATTCTTTACTTAGAATTGTTATTAGGATTAACATCTTAATTGTCGGAATTCGCTATCAATTGATTTTAATACTTATCTGTATTTATGTGGATATTTATGTTCCCTCTTTAATTTAGAATTCTTTGCTAAATTATGATTCACAGTTTTATTATGACTATTTCATGTTCACTTTTGTGCTCTGACAAAAGACATATGGTATACTTTCAATAACAGTATCTCCATTTAATAATAACTACTTTATCAAACACTATGATGTTTTTTGGAATTTTCTTTCTTTAATTGTTATAAAAATTAAATTTAAATTCTTAAAAAATGAGTTTCATGTTAATTAAACTTTCCAGAACAAATTATTTATTGAGATATTAGCAAAAAACTTAATGATTTTAAAAAAAAAAAAAAAAACTTGTCGGATTAATGCGCTTTTGTAGTTAATAAATGGCGTCTAAAAAGTTCTTTCAAATAACTTTTTAGACGCCATTTTTGTAGTTAATAAATACAAAAAAGTTCTTTCAAATAACTTAAACTTGAGTAATAAACATTTTGTTTGGGTTTTTCCTTTTGCAATTACAAGAATGCCTTTATATAAAACCATTTATAAAGCATATAATAACAGGATAAAAATAACATGATCAATAAATATACGCTTTAAAAGTCTAACTTATATTTGTTTTAATAATTTCTAATTAGTGCTATAATTTATATATCTATAAGATATATAAGTTTAAAAATTATATTGAAAAATAAGTTCTGATAGAACCGAAAATACTTTTTTTCATTTTATTTGGGTTTATTAAGAAATAATGAAAATACATTTGATTTCATGGTAATTGAAAATAAAATATTTTAATGAAAATTAAAATAAAACAATGTAGAAAAGCAGTAATCTTTGTTTATTTACAATTTTAATAATAAGGGGAAAACCCAATCTAATGGGGAAAACCAAAAATAATTTTATAAATTATTGTAAAAATTGTTTAAAAAACTGTGATAAGTACATTTATTATTCAAATCAGATATTTTTACAGTTGAAAAAACTAGGCAGATTCATAGAGTTAATATTACCTCTCAACTGAAAGTATAATGGCAAAACAACTTTTGTCAAAAAATTTTTGTTTTTTGTCTCAATAAAAAAATTGTTCTGATAATTTTAATAGACTCAAAACTTATTTCCTAATGTTTATTTTTAAAATAAACATAACTTGTATTGGGTATTCCTTTAAAAAAAGCTTTTCTGCATCCATCTTTATGCTTTTTGTTTGTATTTCTGTTGTTAATGTTAGTATTAATGTTAGTAACTTGTAATCGATTTACATACATACATACAATCAATACAATACATTGCAATGCAATACATTAATAACATACTTTTATATCCTTTAATAACTCGCAAAAACAACAATTTAAGTAATCAAATGATTAATTTTAGTATTTTAGTATATCTACAGATATCTACAAGTAGTTGCTTTGATATATATCAAAGCAACAATTTTCTTGCTTTGCATCATTTAATATTTAAATATATATCCTCATATACCATATATAGTTTTTGTTATTATATACAAGCTACAAGTAAATGAAATATATAAAACCTACAATGGCTTTTTAATTGTCTAAAGTGAATACAAGTAAAGGGTATTTAGGGTTCGCTAGCCAAAAAAATTAAAATAAACTGTGCATTACTTTTTTTTAAATCAATTTTTTTTTGTGTGTTTTTTTGTGTTTTTTGTGTTTGTTTTTTTTTGAAGTAAATTGAATGATTAAAAACTTAATTTTTTTATTTTTATTATTTTTATGTAACAGTTTCATGTATTTTTTGCTTAGGATGAATGCAGTTTTGTTAGTTTGAGAGATGTAGAAAGGGCATTATTAGTAACAAGTTGGTTTTACATGAGAATGGACCTATTTATAAACAATACTGACAATAAGGTATGATAATAAAATGTTTTTCTTTAGGTTTAATAAATAGTTTACAGTAATTAGTTACCACTAGGGGTCAAAATAGGTGTAAGACATTACTTCCCCTCCAACCATTCATGAAATATGTTAAACGACAGCAACCTATCATTTTTTTATTTTTTAGTAAAAATGAACAATGATACGTTGCCCCCTTTAAATGGGTTTCAAAAACAGTCTGGGGGGTGCCAATGTCTAACATTTATTTTGACTCCTGGTTACCACGATCTTTAATTTTATATTATAGAATTATATTTGATTTGTTATAATATCATTGGCTTAAAGTTAATAATTAGCTTTTTAAAATAACTCAAATGTTATTAGCTAGCTTTTTGAAACAAAATATTGAGGAATTTAATTGAGAATATTGAGGAATACAAAGAAGTGTTTTATCTTTTAGCCTTTTTCCTTACAAGCAAAAAGACTAAATAGATCTCCCATACAGCAACTTGTGACTTATAACAATAAGATCAAAATTATAAAAATTTAAATTTTATTGTTGATAATGAATTATTTCACATTAGCACCTTACTAGTAATGACTTGTATTACCCTGCAAGTGATTGGACTTGGGCATCTTGTGTTGTCAAACATTAGGAAGAAGTAGATTTTTAAATTAGCCAAAAGCTCTTGATTTACCAAAAGGCATGAGTAAAATCCATGTTAGACCAAGTGGAATGAGTATCAACCATCAAAATCTATCTCAACAAATGCATAATAAAGTGGCTGGTCTCATTCATTCAGAAACATGATAGCAATGGTTATTGTGTATTTTAGTCTGATTTAGCCTCATTTCACTGTGCTAAATCAGTCACAGATCGGCTAAAAACACTGTTGTCAAAAAATATAAATCAAGCAAGTGTTGCAGAAACTTGTTCTATTTAGGATTTTTTTTTGGGATAGTTTTCAAACAAGAAGTACAATTATACTTCAGTACATTCAGCACAATTGTAGACTCCTGGTAAGTAGAAACTAGGATAATACATTGCTTGATAAAAAGAAAAATTTGATCATATAAGTCATTTATAGAGTAAACTGACTTTTTTTAAATAAATTTTTCTAATGCTGTTTAAAAAAAATCTGTTAAAAAAACCAACAATGATTTTTATTTATAGTTCCACATTTAACATAAAATACTTAAATCAACTAGAATTAATACTATTAGTATTAATTCATACTATAATTAATTCATAATCTTGTAAAAATTTATTTATAAGATATAGAGAAGTCTTGTAAAAATGATATAATTAAAATAAGTATTATTAAAATGATATGTTTGATAAAAAGTGTTAATAAAACAAATACGGTAGTGGTGTAGTGTAGTGGTGTAGTGGTAGAGCGCTTGCCTCATAAGCGAGAAGTTCTGAGTTCGATCCCCACTACGTCCCTGGTAGTACCTCGTTCAACTTGTTTCTCCACGCAGTGGCCTTGTTCGTCAAGGCTCGTGTTTCAGAATTATAGAGTTGAAAGAGGGTTGTAACCACACAAAAAAGTAGCCTCATTGACTGTAGTGGCCTTCTCAGCCTTGGGAAGGTGAATAGTTAAAAAAAAACAAAAAAAAAACATGGAAATATTTTCTGTGTATTCTAGCTTTTAAATTTGGCAAAATTAATGATAAAAAAATGTTTATGAACATTTTGTATATGATGAAATTATAATAATGGGTGATGAGTGATGATAAATTAAATTAATTTTGTATAATTGTTAGTAATAATATTATAAGAAAAAAATATATATTTTAATTTAAAAATACTTTAAATAATTGCTTAAAGGGAAATTAGTTTCAAAACCTGTTCAAAAACTGTTTTTTATTTAAAAAATAAATTTTTTATGCTGTTGTATAAGATTGTAAGATATAATATATTATATAATATACTATATTATGCCATTATAAAATATTATAAATTTGAATTCTATGAAAAAATAAATTAAAAAGAATATTTATTAGAATGTAAACTGCTTTAAGTATGATCATTTCAGCAAATTGTTTTAATAATTTTTTTTGTTTTTAGTTCACTAATTATAACAAAATGCAATTGGCAATAATTTACTCATTAAGCGTATGTTATATTGCAAAATTAGAAGACCGTGATTCTTATCGTAAATATATTTCTAAGTTCTTTACTGGTCATTTCAAGTTGATAAATGGTGCTCAAGAAATTAAAGACAAAGTCGTTAGGTAAAGGTGTTTTTTAAAAAGATTTTAACAAATTTTTAAATGTTTAATTTCTATTGAAGTAAATTGTTATTAATACAAAGTTAAAGTCTCTTTAATTTTATCACCTTTTTTAATAATATTTTTATGTATATTTATTCTATATATATTTTTAATTATTATGCCTAATAATTCCTGTTTTCATTTGTTTCATATAAAATTCAGTCTCCAAAAAAAAATTTTGAATGAAATAAAACTTGAAGATAATATTGCACAAAATGAAGCTTTATGTGAGAATGTGTTTATGATGGTTATTTGCATCGAATTGCGAATCCCTTTATTTGTTGTTGGAAAACCTGGAAGTTCAAAGTCTTTAGCAAAGTCTATCATTCAGGATTGCATGCAGGGAAACATGTCAAAATCTCGTCTGTTTAAAAATTTTAAGCAGGTTTTTCTATTTTAACTTTTTGAGTTTTTTTTTTTTTTTTAGATATATTTTTAATATATAAGATAAAGTAGATTAAATGATTAAAAGTTAAATTTTCTATCTTATATAATTTATTGTATATTCATTATTTATTTACTATTTTATAATTTTATTAGCTTATAAATATTTCAAAAATTTATTAATTTTTATTGCCAATTTTTCAATAGATTTTTATGTCTTCATACCAATGCAGTCCTCTTTCAACAGCTGACGGAATAATAAATACATTCAAACAGTGTAGTCGATTTCAGGAAGGTAAAGATCTTGAAACTTTTGCTTCTGTTGTTGTACTAGATGAGGTTGGTCTTGCAGAAGATTCTCCACGTATGCCTCTCAAAGCATTGCATCCATTATTAGAAGATGGTACTGATGGTTCTGAAGAACTTACACTTGATAGTTCATCTCTTAAAAGCAAAAGAGTGGCCTTTATAGGCATTTCAAACTGGTCCCTTGACCCTGCAAAAATGAATAGAGGAATTATGCTATATAGAGGACAGCCTAATTTAGATGAACTAGTTGAAACTGCAAGGTATCCTTAGCTTTTGCGTTTTATTTTGTTATATCAATCTTCTTAAAATTAGTTAGCTTGAAATGGATTTATTAATTTGATAATAAAAATATTTAATTTATTATTATAAATACTATTAATAATATCATGATATTATTAATAGTATTTATAATAATAATATTAATAATAATAATAATAATAATAATGTTAACCATAATAATGATAATAGTAGTAGTAGAAATTGCTTATTTTTATTGTTACTACAATAATAATAAACAAAAATAATGAAGGTAATTATGAAACAATAAAATGATTAAATTATTTTGAAATATCTTATTATTCATGAATAATACTTTAGGAATATCTGTTTTAATGATAAATACGTTTTTGGAATGATTGCATCTTTATTTGAACCTCTAACAAAGGGATACTTAGAAGTTTATGAAAAGCAAAACAATTGTGATATCATAAAAAAGTACAGAAAAGAAGAATTTTTTGGGTTAAGAGATTTTTACAGGTAACCTCAAGTTGCATTTCTGTTTTTGCAAATTTTTTTTTTTTTTTTAATAAATTGATAAATTAAAAATTTGGCCCTATAATTGTAAATGATTGTAAATATAAATTATATAACTTTTTACTATAATTATTATTATAATAGTTGAATTTTATTTTTCCCAGCGAACTGCAGCAACAGCAATGACTTCCTATGAATCATACAGTGATTTCAACAAATCCAAGTCAATGTCATTTAACATGTCAAGATGTTAAAGCAGTTTAGTTCCTTAAGTTTTTTTTTCTAAACTGTAAAAATCCAAAAGTCTTTTTATCATTTCAAAAACACTGTTCCATCTAGTGCGGTTGTTGAGCAGCAGTCCTTTGTAATAAAAAGACCCGTAAATTTTGTGCATATTTCTTTTAGAACTTTATATCAAAACAATGAATATTTCAAGAACTTTATTAGTATTCAAAGTTTTTTTAGACTTTTTATTATATTTTCTTCATATTCAATCTTTTCCTCTGAATAATCAATAAGCATTTCTCCTTCAGTCTCTCAAATTATAATTCTTCCTTTATTCCTTTATTCATCACCTGTTAATTCTCAGATATTTGTTTTTAATTCGTTTAAATTAAATAACTTTGAATTAACTAATGTTTAATTACATTTACCTTTGAGATAAATTAAATTAATTTTTTTATTTTTTATATTTGTTTGTTTTTAAAATTAATTTATAATATAAAATTCTCTGTTAACTGTGAAGTCACAGTTAGTAGAGGAAAATTTGATTCAAAATATTTTAAAATGTTAAATAAGTATTTTAAGCTTTAATTACTTATTTCTTTTATTTAGTCTTTAATTGACTTATTTTTATTAATTTAAATATGGTTACTAAATTGATAGAGTTGTTACACAAAAATAAATTTGCGTCATTTGAATTGTCGTGAGTGTAAATAATTTACAAAATTTTATTAATTTTAGTTCAATAAATAAATCTTTAAAATCCAATTTTACAAAAATTAGATTTTAAGTAATAACTTTTTTTTCCAAAAACAGTTCCTCTAATTCGTCTCTAATGAGCGCACTCTTCGTGTCATCCCAAAGAAACCAGTTAATCCACTCTTAGATATATAAATCGCTAGAGATTTCTTTGTTAAACATGATAAATATTTATCATCTTTAACAAAGTGAAAGAACTTTAGCTTGTAGTCTAGACAATATTTCTGTGACAGTCTTACAAAAGTGTTCTCCACAACATTTATTTCTCCACAAATTTCTTTATTACTCTCTAAATTATCTTGTTTTCCTGTTTGCTTGAAAATCTAATCTTTGGTTTTTGTTTTTAAAAACTTTATAAAAAAAAGATCGCTCTGACTCTTCAAACGAATCACTTGTTCATAGTTTTTATCATTTAAATCTTTACTCTTTGTCTTCATTATTACTAATATTTTAATTATTAGAAAAAAATCTCACTCACATAAAATTGACCCTGATCAGCTTCAGCATAGTAGCTGAAGCTAATCAGTTTAAAGCTAAAGCTGAAATATCAGCTCCTATTTAGTACTCATTTACTCCCTTATAATTTTAATCACTTAAATACTCTTTTTCTTCATGACAAATGTTGAACAAATTACAAATCGCAACAATCCATTAATAATTAAATATTGCATTAATAATCTCTATAAAGTTCTGGTTGTTTTAAGGCAGGTTGATATACTTTAAGAAAAAAATTTATATAATGGAACCCAGCATTTAATCGAAGATCATGCTGGTTGACCGTTTTCAAAAAGGAACAAAATTCAATAACTTTTCAGGTACTTTTAAATCAAGTTCATATATTTTTCAAATAAAATTAAAAACAAAAAAGTTATTAAAATTTCAGATAATATATTTTATGTGTTCAGAAATTATAAAGAATATGAAGGATTTTTAGATAGGTAAATAAAATTTGAAATTGTTTCATAAAGTTTTTTTTTTTTAAAGGTTTCATAGGTGCTCAATAGCAAATCCAATATATAAATATATAAATTGATAAAAGGTTTCATAGGTGCTTAATAGCAAATCTTTTATATATTTTGTTGAGTAGAAAATTATTTCATTAATTTTTTTCCTCTTTATTTTTTATTCTTTGATCCCTAAACTAGTTATCAGATGAATAGTAAATTTTTACTAGTTATCAATGGTAAATTTTTACTAGTTATCAATGGTAAATTTTTACTAGTTATCAATGGTAAATTTTTACTAGTTATCAATGGTAAATTTTTTTGTAAACTGTACTGTGTAATAATTTGTGTAATTTTTAATATTTCTTCTGAACTTTTATTTTGTTCCTTCTTCATTTCAGAGAAAGTAAAAAAAGATTTGTTGTTGTTTTTTTTGTGTTAAAAAGACAGAAAAAACTGGCTTACATTTCAAAAATGTTTATTTAATTCTTCAAATAGTTTTTTTTTAATTTAATTTTTATATTATTATTTTTATATTCATTTAATAATCAAGTTATTAATTAAATAAATATATAATAAATATAAATATAATAAAATATTATAGAAATATTATAATACGATCAATTATTTTAATAAAACAACAATATAAAAAACTGTTATATCTTTGTGCTATAAAAACGATTGATCTTATTTTTAAATATATATTTATAAAAAGTTTATTCATTTTTCTTCTTTATTGTGAATAAAAATGTCATCGAATATCAAAATTTTGATGATCATTATAATAACAAGTAAGAAAGAGACAAATCATTTAAGACAACTTTGTAATTAAACTTTGGATAAATGAGTCAGATACTTGTAAAGTTCAGATAATAGTTTTTCAAAGGTACACTGCACTTTTTTTTTTTTATTTAGAGCCATTAGTATGCATTTCGTTTTGTGTTTTTTTTGTTTTTTGTTTTGTTTATGTTTTTGTTTTGATTTGTTCCTTTTATTTCAAGTGAACTTTATATGGCTGTATGTTCAGGTTTTTATTGACTTTATTTCAACAAACATTGTAAAATCAAAAGTTCTGTTTATTTAATTAATTTTGAGACATTTATACTAGTATTAGCATAAACTATAAAATTTATGCTAGTTTACTACTTGTTTTTATTTTTATTTATTAAATTCAATAAAACAGTTTAGAGAAAGAAAAGCAATAGTTTATCAATTGAACTGAATTGAACAAATTGAATTGAATTAAGTTAGCGCTTAAATAATTTTATTATTTATTTTTTCTAACAATTCTCATAACTTAAGTTTTTGAATTTGCAGCAAATACTGAAAACATGGATTAACATATTAAGCTCTTCTGCAACACATGCATATATTTCGCTTTTATAAATTTTAATTATAAAACTTCTAACATAATACGCAACAATAATAGGGAATATTTGTTGATATTTGAAACTTTTTTTTTCATTTTTATAATCTTTTCTTTCATTTAACATGAACTCTTCTTCAACTTTCTTTGTCGTCCAAAGGACACATAAAAACTAACCTTTTATATAGAAATTTGCTTCTAAACTGCTTGCGGGTTTGTTTTTTTATTAAAAAGTAACCTCTATTTATTGATAAATGTTTTTTTTTCTTAAAATCAGCTAATATCTTTGTGCTATAAAAACGATTGATCTTATTTTTAAATATATATTTATAAAAAGTTTATTCATTTTTCTTCTTTATTGTGAATAAAAATGTCATCGAATATCAAAATTTTGATGATCATTATAATAACAAGTAAGAAAGAGACAAATCATTTAAGACAACTTTGTAATTAAACTTTGGATAAATGAGTCAGATACTTGTAAAGTTCAGATAATAGTTTTTCAAAGGTACACTGCACTTTTTTTTTTTTATTTAGAGCCATTAGTATGCATTTCGTTTTGTGTTTTTTTTGTTTTTTGTTTTGTTTATGTTTTTGTTTTGATTTGTTCCTTTTATTTCAAGTGAACTTTATATGGCTGTATGTTCAGGTTTTTATTGACTTTATTTCAACAAACATTGTAAAATCAAAAGTTCTGTTTATTTAATTAATTTTGAGACATTTATACTAGTATTAGCATAAACTATAAAATTTATGATATTTGAAACTTTTTTTTTCATTTTTATAATCTTTTCTTTCATTTAACATGAACTCTTCTTCAACTTTCTTTGTCGTCCAAAGGACACATAAAAACTAACCTTTTATATAGAAATTTGCTTCTAAACTGCTTGCGGGTTTGTTTTTTTATTAAAAAGTAACCTCTATTTATTGATAAATGTTTTTTTTTCTTAAAATCAGCTAATATCACGTTTTTGGGTTTGTATCTTTTTTTTTTTAATCTTTTTTTAATACTTACTTTTTGAAAAAAAAATTTTTTTAATAAAATTAAAAGATGTAACTTACAACATAATTTTTTCTAATATTTATATAAAAATATATTACATATGTGGGAGGACGACGGTGGCAATGCAAATGAAATATTTGTACTTTATGTTATTTTACTTTTATATAAAAAAATTTTATCCTTTAAAAAAATATATTCTGCTTCTTTAATTCGAGAGGCTTAATAAGTGTGAATTGGCATAAGTGCGAATTGGCATAAAAGCAAAATAACAATTTGCGTTATGCCAATATTTGCAATTTTATGTGGCGCACTTATGCCAATGTTTGCAAATTCTTTTGGCTCACTTATGCCAGTTTGCTCTTGTGCCAGTTTTTGTAATTACTTTGCACTTATGCCAGTTCGCACTTATTCTAATTCGCATATATGCCAGTTCGTACTTACGCCATTTGCACTTATGAAATTAATGCTTATCCAGTCGTCCCCTTTAATCTGGAAACACTCCATTTCTTTAATAAGGATAAAAAACTCGATTTAATTTCAAATGTCTTGAAATTGCTAAATATCATGACTTTCTGTAAAGACTAAAAAGTAGAAAATAAAATATAGCAAAAACATTTGCTAGGAAATTTAATGTTTTATGTTTTCTTTCACTTATATGATCTTTTTCTCAACTTTCTTTGTCTAAGTCCAAAATTAACATTTTATATAGAAATTTTCCACTAAATTGCTTGCGGGTTTGTTTATAATAGTATAATTAATTAACAAATCTTTTCATTTTTAAAATATTTTATATTGTTTGTGGGTTTGTAATTTTTTTGAATATGCTTTGTTCTTTTTAAAAATAAATTTTTTTTATTTTTAAAATAGGCTAAGATTGCTTGTGAGTTTGTATTTTTTTTTAATACTTTTTTTTTGAAAAAAATTATTTTAATAAAATTGAATAAGTAACTTACAAAGTTATGTTAACTTTGTTTGATATTAATATAAAAATATACTACATCTGTGGAAGGACGTGGGTTGCAATGCAAATGAAATATTGGTACTTTATGTTATTTTACTTTTATATAAAAAAATTTTATCTTTTAAAAGAAAAATATTCCGCTCCATCAAATACTCTGTTTCATTAGGATAAAAAGCTCGACTTAATTACAGATGTCTAGACAAACGCATTACTAAATATCGCAACTCTCTGTAAAGACTAAAAAGTAGAAAATAAAATATAGCAAAAACATTTGCTAAAAACATAATCTTTTTGTACTAAAAAGAGGAAAATAAACTTTTAAATTTAAATTTAATAGTTCATTAAACTAAAGATTGACAGGTTTCTATATAAATCTTATGTAGATCTGTCAATCTTAAGTTTACTGAACTATTAAATTTAAATTAAAAAGTTTATTTTCTACTTTTTAGTACAAAAAGATTATATTTTTACATGTTACATGTTGCTATATTTTATTTACATGTTACAAAGTGATCAAGTAAATTTTTTTTTTTTTTTTTTGCAATGTATTCAGGATAAAATTTTTTTTTATTTTTTATAAAAATATCATATTTACTCTATAATTTATTTAAAACACTAAGGACAAAATAAGTAATACCCATCAGGGCCTATTCTAGAAAAAAAATTTGGACAGCGGTACCTACTCATTCCAGCAAAATTTAACGGAAAATCAGGGTTTTTTTCGCTAATAAAAACACTAATTGCTAAGTCAAAAAAAGGTCCTCAAATTTTAATTTAGGCAACGCCCAAATACGGTTGGTGCTATCAAAAACGGTCTAGAATAGCCCCTGTCCATTATGCCCCTTTATTTAGTCAAGACAAATTTTGCTACAATTTTAAACTTATGCAACTGATGGTGGCATTTTGTCACATGATAATGCAAAATCAATCACTATTTAGTTGTTTCTACACTCAGAACAAGATCTATTTGTTAAAAACTATTTTGTCCCAGTAAACAATTTTCCACCAATTTCCCCTATATATATACAAATAAGATATATATACATATATATATATATATATATATATATATATATATATATATATATATATATATATATATATATATATATATATATATATATATATATATATATATATATATATATATATATGTAGTGTTGTAGTGGTAGAGCCCTTGCCTCATAAGCGAGGACATCTGAGTTTGATAACCACCACGTCTCTTGTAGTTTTGCATTCAACTTGTTTTTTCACGCTGCAGCCTTGTTTGCCAAGATTTGTTTTTCGCAGTTATGGAGTTAAGAGGTTGAGAGAGAATTGTAACCACACCTAAAAGTAGCTTCCTCAACTTAAGTGTCCTTCATAGACTTGGGGTGGTGAATTGAAAGTGATATGTATATATCTACATATATATATATATATATATATATATATGTATATATATATATATATATATATATATATATATATATATATATATATATATATATATATATATATATATATATGTATATATATATATATATATATATATATATATATATATATATATATATATATATATATGCAAATTTTCTTGACTTTATTTTGTTTACTTTTGATGCCTTTAGTAAAGCCTCGTTACTTATTATTTTTATTTTTTCAGTTTGTTAAAGTTAGTATTCTGCTTTGCTCGAAAACGGCAAAGTACTCCTACACATGCAGATATTGAACATGCAGTTAAAAGAAATTTTAGCGGACTTCAGGAACTTGATACATGGAGTATCTTTAAATCATATCTTCCATATGATTTTTCTGTGGTACTTAAATGCACTTTTATTTTTGTTTAAAAACTTTTACTTTTTGTGCTAAAAATAAGTCATATAGATAATTTATATCAAATATCATTTAGTCAAAAGATACGGAAGCAGGTATTTCTGCATTGCGTTTAATTGCTGATAGTTTTGCTGATGTATGTCCATGTTATGAATATCGTTTAAATTCTGAAAAGACTGATAAAGCACATTGTTTAAGTTCTCGCTATCTTTTGTTAATGACCGATGATTATGCTGCTTTACCAATAATTGAGCAGCATTACTTGAAACCCAATCAAAAAAGTACTGTCATTTTCGGAAGCAGCTTTCCTAAGGACCAACAGTTTACTCAGGTATATAGTTTTATAATTAAACTTTTATATTTAATTTCTTTTAATATATATATATATATATATATATATATATATATATATATATATATATATATATATATATATATATATATATATATATATATATGTATATATATATATGTATATATATATATATATTAGGGTGTCCCAAAAAACAACTTTTTAAAAAATAATCTACTCTCACCCTCTAAATGTGTTCTATCTAATACAAAAACACTAAGTTTAAAGGGTCCCTCAAGACCCTCAAATATTTAATGGGTCCCTAATATTTTCAAAAAAAAAGTTTTTAAAAATTATGTCAACCTGGTACTCAAATGAAGCAAAATTATATAAAAATTTCAAAAATAATGTTCATTTCAGAAAAAACGATACGTAACAATATTTCCCTTAAAATATACAATATTTGCCAAACAAAAAACAATTTTATGTAAAAAAATCGCCGATTTCGTTAAGAAAAAAAAGATCCTCAATTTTCAATTTGTGCAGCGCCCAAATACAGTCGGCGCTGCTGAAAATGGTATAGAATAGCCCTATATATACATATATATATATATATATATATATATATATATATATATATATATATATATATATATATATATATATATATTTATATATATATAATTAAGTCAGTTTTATAATTATGTTAACCATGTATAATTTTAATATATTATGCTGAACATTAAGTTTAATGCTGAAGACTAGTGTATTTTGTATTTGGTATTTAATGGGACTTTGGTTTTGTGGTATGATTAATATAACTTTTTGCTCACAATCAAGAGGTTCATAGTTCAAATTCATTGTATGCCTCAGAAAGTTCCATGCTCTTCCCTGTTACTCTGCCAGTGGCCTCGTTTACATGGTTCTTTGTTTCAAATTTTTAAATGAGAGTTTCAGATAAAACTAAAAAAAAAAAAAAAGTCCTTGACTTCTCTCTCTGGAGTCTTGGGAAAGTGGTTTTAATAAAAATAAATATTAAAATAAGTGATCACACATCACTTGCATAATTATTTTGTATTATTAAAATTATTTAATAGCTAAAAATTTATAGACAGTTTACAATTTGCATAGTTTTAGTGGAGATTGTCAGAGTTTCTTCACCATATTACAGTAAACTTATTTTATAATTTTAATTTACATATTTATTTCAAAGAAATTTTCATACAAATAGTTGTCACTTTTTCAATCAAATGGTACTACTTATTTTATGTAATTAATACTGAAAATGCTAGTGTCAAAAATTTAATTAAGATTTCTTTAAAATGAAAGAACAAAAATGTATTATATATATATATATATATATATGTATATATATATATATATATATATATATATATATATATATATATATATATATATATATATATATATATATATACACACACACATACAAAACCATACAAAATGTAATATTGTTAAACAGTATTTAAATTCATAAAAAATCAATGAAAAGCACTTTAGTTATATAAAACAGTTTATTAAATGATTGATGACACTTTACCGAAAAATACCATTGAATACATGTATTTAGCATTAACTTAACATTTTGGGAAAAGGAGACTTGTAGTATATATATTGTATAATATCATAGTCATAAGAAATAAGATAGTCCGGCCACTTGCGGTATTCCTTTGATCAACTCTTTGTTTGCATTTTTTTAGTGTCCAGTCCGCCACAGAGTGCACAAAATATATTTTCATCGATTGTTTTTCTATGAATTGCTTGTCTAAATTTTGTATCTTGTTGCATCTTCTTCATCCAATACTTTAAATGTCTGGTGCTAATTGTTCTATGCAGTACTTCTCGGAGGCATAAGGGAGTTTCAATATTTAAAGTTCCTGCATCTAATGATAGTTTTAACAATTCTTGGAGGGAAAATTTAATACCATCATTCTTAAAGATCGTGTTAAAGATATAAATTTGAAGGCTCAAATAGAAAGAAAGTGTGTGTTTATTTGTGAAAAGCATTATATTCCAGAAATTATACTTCATACTGACAACAGAAAGTCACTAAAACCTGGATCATTACCGACTTTGTGTCTTCCAAAAAAAAGTTTTATGTCATCAATTCCTATACAAAGGGAACCTGCATCTTCTATCGTTGCTAATAGAGATGCTTCAATGATTTCAAATAGTATTATTACCTTTAAACCTATATATAAATCATACGAAGAGTTCCTAAATCGCATTAGTAAGGTAAAGATTTGTGACTGGCAGTAAGTGTGAGTCCTGTTGTGGCAGAGTTTAAACTTTATGACACAATCCACTTATGTCCTCGATATGAAATATATGTTGATGACAGTCTTGCTTTTACCATTTGTGTATATTCTTGGCTCATTCCAGATGATCATTCCAATATATGCAAAATACAGAAGATCAATGCAACATATTTCAGTTTCAAATCTTATTACTGTTGTTACTTCTTTTACCCTTTGTTCTGGAATAACTGATTTATTTGCTTTAAAATCAAATCTTTATATTAAACATTGTATTTCAAAAAAGTTTGGTTTATTTTCATCTAGGAGTGATTTTCCCTTAAATCAGACAGAGTATTTTCGATCTCAATCATGTATTATGCTGATTGAGTTAATGTTATGCTGTTCTCAATGCAAAAGGATTGAAAAAAGTGAAATCAAATGGCAACATTTTTTTTCAAAAGTTTGAAAAAAAATGTTGCCAATGCTTGTATCCCTGCTAAATTAAATGCACCAATTAAATTTACATCTCCAGATCGTCTGAAGCATAAATTACAGAGTGTTTGTCTGGAAAATAAAGAAATAAAAAAGGAATTAGCTTTGATGAAGCAGGAGATTGAAAATTCATCACTAGCTATAAGTAAAAGTATTGAAAGCTATTTAGTTCAAATAATGGCAGGAACTGATAAAACCCAGGTTTCTCCATTTATGAGCCTGTTTTGGGAAAAGCAGCAAAAATATTTAAAAAGCTCAAAGCAAGGGATTTGCTATCATCCAGCAATAATACGTTACTGTTTGGGATTAGCTGCAAAATTACCAGCTGCTTATGAAGCAGTACGGTTAAATGAGTAAACAATTCTGGTTTCTTAGTTTTACTAAGTCGTAGGCAATTACGTGACTATAAAAATTATGTGAAGCCAAAGTTGGGGTTTAATAAAAATATAATAAAAGAATTAAAAGATAAAGTCGAACATTTTTCAGCTCAAAAAAAATTTATTGTCCTAGTTCTTGATGAAATGAAAATTCAAGAAAATCTTGTTTGGGACAAACATTTTGGAGAATTAATTGGTTATGTTGATTTGGGCAATCCTAGTGTTAATTTTGCAACATTACAGCAAGCAGACAAACTTGCTTCTCATGTATTAGTTTTTTAATAAGAAGTATTGTAAATCCTTTCAAATATAGTTTTGCAAACTTTGCTACTATAAATATTACATGCAATTATTGCAATTAGTGCAATTATTTTCTCTATTTTGGAAAGCTGTAGGCATTTTAGAAATCTCTGTTGGCCTAAAAGTAGTTGCAGTTACTTGTGATGGAGCATCATCAAATAGAAAATTTTTTTAAATGGATTTTGATCTGAATGAGAAAGTAGATAACAATGGTCATGTTAATGTGACCTACCGCACTGAAAATTTATTTGCTGATGATGGTGATAAAAGATTTATTTATTTTATTTCTGAAGTCCCTCATTTAATTAAAACAGCAAGGAACAGCCTTTATCATTCTGGAGCTGGTAAAAGCAATTGTTATATGTGGAATCAAGGTCAACATATTTTATGGTCTCATATAACTGATTTGTTTTATGAAGATTTGAAATGTCAATTGCATGCATGTCCAAAGCTAACTGTTGAGCACATCAAAATAAGTCCATTTTCAGCTATGAATGTTCGTTTAGCTGCACAAGTTTTAAGTAATTCATGTAGTACTGCATTAGAAATCTATGCACCATCAGATACTTCTGGAACTGCACAGTTTTGCAAATATTTTAATGATTTTTTTGATTGCTTAAATGTTCGTAATACAAATGATTATATATTAAAATGCAACTCATTTTTGAAACCATTTTCTGATACAAATGATGTTCGATTTCATGGCTAAAAGAAAATTTTTTAAAATATCTTTCTGATCGGCTTTTTTTCTATGGAATCAAGACCTGGAAATTTTTCAAAAAGTGATAGAAGTAATATATTTATTACTTGGCAAACCCATGAAGGTTTAAAAATCACAGTTAATTCTGTTGTTGAACTTATCAAATTTTTAATTAACAATAATCTAAGTTATGTATTAACTGAAAGGTTTTGTCAGGATCCTTTAGAAAATTACTTCGGACAACAACGGTCAATTGGTAGAAGAAAAGATAATCCTTCTTTGTTTGATTTTGGATTCAATGATAATACTATTCGAAATCAACATATATTCCACCCAATTGCAGGTAACTGTCTGAGTTTTAATGAATCAAACAAAACATTAATGGAGGAGAGTATGACATGTATACCATGCAAAAAATGGACTTCCTCTGAAAAATCAAATGATAAAAAAAGTTGATTTTTGAATCAATTTAATAAAAAAACTTTCTTATGTCTCCTTGTACTGCTGATAACAAATAATTTTTGTATGAAAACAGCTATTTTCATAGCCACAAATCTTTTAAAAAACTTTAAATGGCATAAAATATTGATTAGTTAATTGAGAAATAGTTTGTTTAAATAATAAATAAAAAAGTTTATTTTGCAGACTTACTTTTTTGTTTGTTTTACTTTTGCTACAATGTAAACAAGCACCTAGCTCTTGAAATTTGGTTTAGGATCCTCTAAAATTAGAAAAAAGGCTCCTAAATTTGCAGCCTTACCCCCTATTTGGGAGCATGGGAAAGTCTATTTATGTGTAATGATCACTTGCATTAGATGCAATAGATTTGAGGTTCAATGCCTACTCTGAGCATATTATCTGTAAATTAAGAAACCTTAACAGAACCTTTTATTTGACACCTATTCAATTGGGTATATGGTGTCATAATTTAATCTTGATCCAGTTCAGCTTGGAGCTTCCTTTATATATATGATCTCACAAGAGTTTTTCTCCATAAAAATATATTATTTTTCTAAGACTATAAACTCAAATTGTTTTTTGAATGTTTGTTTTTAGATTTTGATATTTTCAGTCCTAATTTCATTTAAAGTTTTGAATTTGATGAAAATGACTGCGCATAAACTTTTTTGTTTTAAATATATTTCGATATAATTTTATATTTACAATATTTTGCTGACTGATATTTAAAACAAAAAAGCTTATATGCAGTCATTTATATCAAATTCAACATATATAAATGTCGTATAACAAGAATTTAAAAGATTTATAGTTTATCATATCAATCTGGGCCTCAAAAGAGCAATAATTTTAAATAAAAACAAATTGCTTAAATTTCTTTTTAAACAAAAATTCTGGTTCTTTTGAGACCCAGGTTGATATACTTTTGAAGAAAAAAAAATTCACTGGGACCCAGAGTGTAATCAAGGGTCATGGTGGGTGATCTCAAAAAATAAATAAAACCAATGACTTATCAGATACTTTCAAACCAAAGTTCATCTATTTTATATACAGAAAACTGGAGATACCAAAAATTTACCCTAAAGTCAACAGCCTAGTATATATATATATATATATATATATATATATATATATATATATATATATATATATATATATATATATATATATATATATATATATAAATGTATATATATATATATATATATATATATATATATATATATATATATATATATATATATATATATATATATTTATATATATATTTATATATATTTATATATATATATATATATATATATATATATATATATAAATGTATATATATATATATATATATATAAATGTATATATATATATAAATGTATATATATATATATAAATGTATATGTATATATATATACATATATATATATATATATATATATATATATATATATATATATATATATATATATATATATGTATATATATATATATATAATAATAATAATAATAATAATAATAATAATAATAATAATAATAATAATAATAATAATAACAATAATAATAATAATATGTTATATCAGGAATCAGAGCAGAAAGTTAGTCTGAAAATATTTGTTTATTATATATTTAGAACTGTGTGTTTATTATAATTTTGTACTACATTTTGATAAGGGTTTTTTGGGGTTATGGTCTTAAGGGTTTTATCTATTTCTTATTGAAACAAACAAATAAAAACTTTTTTTTTAATTAATATTTTTTATGACAAATAACAGTGTTACTAAGCCAAGTATGTTTTTATGAAATTTGTGGCTATGAAAATAGCCGTTTTTGAATGTGATATTCTATTAAACTATTTATTCCAATCCAATTGAAGTCTTTTTCATTTTTGAACGGAGTGATTTTGACTTTGTTAGATTCTCTTTAAGTTTGTGGATACTTAGTTTTTCTTTTGCATATGAAAAAGATCTTACTCTAACATAAAGTGTAAACAGATGATAAAATAAGTTTAAAGACAGTTCTTTGGATACTTGATTTGTGCAAAGACTATGAAGTTCAAATATGCTTGCCATCACAACGCAGTTTTTTAAAATTTCGGTCACAATCAGTTCTGAATCAATTTTTTTTACTAAACCATTACTTTTTTGGCGAAAGAGAACCTCAACGTTTGTAAAGATTTCTTTTGTAAAGACACTTTCCACAAACCACCTCGATTTTTAGCATTAACAAATTTATGGTAAGACTCATTGGATGTTTCAGGATTCTTAACAAAATGTTCTATTTTACCAGCATTAAGAAGTGAAAGGCAGTCTGTGCCTAACTTTTCCTGCCATAACCGTGAACTGCGAATTCTGCAATAAAATGTACTGAATACATAACCACTTAGATACAAGATAATTTCTTTATCTCTATCTGAAAGTTCAACAGACGATAAATCATTTAAATTTATAAAAGAATTATTGTAAAATGAGTTTGTAAGAAACGTTAAAACATGATTGCATAGTTTATAGCCAAGAAGTCTAGTTGTTTTTTTAGTCAGAATGTTATTGAAAATTCCTTTATCACAAATAATACTTTTGTAAAATTGAGGATAAAATTTTTCTGCATCGCCATCAGCTTTAAAACCAGCTATTGTTGTCTCTAAAACAGATATAGTTTGTTGTGAAGTTTCTAACAGCATTGCATGATTAATTCTCAACTCGTTTCCATACAAATGAGGATAGCATTCGTCGTCAATTAAGGTAGTAATGCTTTTATCGAGTAGATTTTTAAATTCGCTAAGAAGAATAAGTGGTTTAGAATTTTGTAATGTTAAATCCAAAGGAATACTTTGATGTTTTGAATTTGTATGCCTTGTTAGGCCTCTTTGAGATATGCACTTTTTAGAGCAAATTGTGCAAGAAAATGCACTTTTAACTGATTCACTAGACAACTCCAACACCAAGGCGTCTAAATCCTTATTAAAATTTTCGTTTTCAAAAAGAAAATCATTTTCCAAAGAAAAATATGTTTCAATATCAAATTCACCATTGAAATCTATGTTCGTTTCCATATTTTGTGCACTCTGTTCCCGGCCGTTCAACAGTTTTCAAGTGTTTTTAACGAATATTAGAAAAATTACATAATACGACCCGAGTGATCAGACTATCTATTTCTTATGACTATGATAATATGTATATATTTTAGTGGTATCTTTAATTATTTTGGTGTAATAAGTTTTGTGTTTGACTTTATTTACTTTTAAAGGTATGTCGTGATATAAATAGAGTTAAGATATGTATGGAGACTGGCACTAGAGTTGTGTTGTTAAACATGGAAAATTTATATGAAAGTCTTTATGATACATTAAACCAGGTATATTTATGTGGTTTTCGTTTCTGCTTTTGTTTTTTAACATATATACAATATATTTTTATCTTTAGTGAAAGCGTTTTATGTGTGTGTTGTTAAAGGAATAGTTAGACATTTAATTGAATAATAATTAATCAGTAAACCACAAAAGCATATATTTAAATAATGTACCAAATTTGTATGAAATTTAGTTTTTTTGTTTTTAGATTATCTTATTTAAACTTCTTTTTAATTTATAACTTCTTTTCAAGCTAATACTTCTTTTTTTTTTATTAATTTTTTAAATAACTTATTTTTAAGATATAGCATCAAAAGCGTTTTCTAATAATTCTCATAATTTAAGTTTTCGAACTTTTTTTTTAAACTGCAATCAGTCAAATTTGTTTAATTTTTTAAAAGTTAATTTTTTGTTGCCTTTTCATTGGTAATTATTACCAATTGCCCAAAATAGCTATCCTGAATGCTATTGTTGGTAATATTGTCACCTAAAGCAGTATCCAGAATGAAAAATTGTTTTATGTTTAGTATTATGTATCACTTGGAGGAAAGAACTATGTAGATTTAGGCATTGGAACTCACAGAGTTAAATGCAGAGTGCATGAAGATTTTAGGTGAGGTTGTTGATAATGTTTTTTTTTCTTCATATTTTTTGTGAATTATAAAAATATTGTTCTATATAAAAATCATTTTGCTATACTCTATAGTGTTTCTATATATTTTCTATGTAATTTTTCCAGCCTGTTACATTTTTTTTATATAATGTAGTTTTTTAAGATATATATATATTTATTTATATTCTTTTTTTTTTTATATATTTTATATAAGATATAGTTTTTTTATATTCTCAGTGAACTAATTTACTGTAAATTTAGACTTATAGTGATTGCAGATAAAGAAAATGTGTACAGTACCTTTCCTATACCTTTGATAAATAGACTTGAGAAACATTTTTTAACTGTATTGAATGGAATGGAACAGTCTCAGATAGAACTTGCCAAGAAGCTTAAAAGATGGGCTACAGATTTTTCTAGCATATACTCACTCACGTAAAAATTAACTTTGTTAATGTCAATTTTTTTATTTTTCAATTATTTAAAGTTGAATTATTATTTGAGTTATTTTATATTAACCATTTTAAATCATATATATATATATATATATATATATATATATATATATATATATATATATATATATATATATATATATATATATATATATATATATATATATATATATATATATATATATATATATATATCTGTGTGTTATGTGTAATGTAGCATTAATAAAAATTTATAATTCATAGAAAAAGGATGAGACGTAATTGAATGATGAGTAACACAAGAATTAATTAAAGTAGATTGCACAAGAGCCGTTAGCTCTTTAGAGCAGTGCCCATTATAGTATTTTTAGAAAAGAGAAAAAGAAGCAACATTACGACAATATAACAATGGTTGATGGTTGGCTAAAAGAACAGGTCCAATTATGTTTACAATGCGTTTTTGCACCTTGTCTTAAAGAGAAAGGGCATCATTAAAAGATCCTCCCCAGATATGGCAGCAGTATTCCATACAAGGCCAGATTTGAGATTTATAGAGATAGAGAATAGAATCCAGAGTTAGAAAGTGTCGAGCTCGATAAAGAGATGCAACTTTAGCATCTCCAAGATTTATTAAATTATTTATTAAAATATATATCAAAAATTATTGCGATAGCAATTGGACAAAAAAAAATTTATAAGAGTTTTATCTGAATTAAAGTTCACCAGCCACTGTGAGCCCCATGTTGTAGTAGAAGTGAGGTCCTTATTTATCCTTGTTAACATTACTTGTTCATAGCCAAACTCAAAATAAATTAAACCAGAAAATTTATTTAGATCTCATTCACTCAAAAAAAACTAAACCAGAAAATTAATTTAGATCTTCTCATTCACATTATATGTAATGTTACTTACTGTTTGTACCATTTACTGCAATGTGGAGCGCCTCATTTTTTAAATGTTTCTTCATTTCTCAAATGTCTGTAGATTTTTGCAACATAAATAGCATTACAGCCAGTGCAAAATATTTGTAGACCTAAAGTTTATGAAACTTAAAAAGAAGTTTTTTCAAGGAAAGATAATTTTGTAATTTATTCCAAGTAAATTTTAATTTTATTAGAGCATCTTTGCAAAATTTTTGGAAAAGAAAATTTTGTATAACTAAAGTTCCAATAAATAATAATATATTGATAATAGTAATAATAATATATTGATAATAATAATAATAATAATAATAATAATAATAATAATAATAATAATAATAATAATAATAATAATAATAATATATCAATAATAATAATAAATCGATGTTCTAAATATATTTTATCAAAGTAAATGTTTTAGCAATGTTTTAATTGTTTGTAGGTTTTTATGATTTTAGAGTTTCAACCAATAATTAAATATAAAATAAGCACTCTACATTAAATAGGAAAATCTCCCACATAGGAAACAATGTTCTGAACAACTTATCTGTTTACATTTATTGTTCTAATCTCTTTAAGGTTGTGGGGAACACTACAGTCAAGTTTTTTTGTTACAACCCTTTCTTGTAATGTCAAGGGCTGTATAAAAACATCAGTATTGACTTGATAACTGTGTTGAAAAAATTTGAGTACTACCACCACACCACTACCACATATATAGTATATATACCCATTTATGTATATAATATATATATATATATATATATATATATATATATATATATATATATATATATATATATATATATATATATATATATATATATATACACACACATATATATATATATATAATATATGTATAGATGTTTATATTTATATATATGTTTATACATGTATATATATATGTATGTATGCATATATATATATATATATATATATATATATATATATATATATATATATATATATATATGTATGTATATATATATATATATATATAGGTATGTATCTATGTGTATACATATGTATATATGTGTATATATATGTATATATATATATATGTATATATATATGTATATATATATATATATGTATATATATATGTATGTATGTATGTATGTATATATATATATATATATATATATATATATATATATATATATATATATATATATATATATATATATATATATATATATATATATATATATATATATATATATATATATATATATATATATATTAGGGTTATAACAAAAAAAAATTTTTTATGAAACCACTTGCAATCGAGGAAACTTTATGTGTAATTCAAGAATATAAATTGCATTTTTGATGTTTTTTAAAAAAGTTCCCCCACTCACTCAGGAAAAGAAAAATGAAAAAATGTTTTTTTTTTCAAAAAAGGACATATTTTTTAGCTTTATCCAAAATAATAAAAGTAATAGCTTATCTAAGCAACTTTTAAGAACAAATAAGATGGAGAACATTAGTATTATGTTCAAAATATACATGAAATGTTTAAAAGTTATTTTTTCCAAGGAACTTCAAATTCAAAAACTCAAATTTTCTTGATTCTTCATGAAGTTCCTCCATCAGTTTTACCGCACGTTCAGCAATTTGGTTAGATCTGGGAATATCAATAAATGACTCCTCGATTGACCAATGTGTCTTTAAACACTTAATTGCTTTCTTGCATTTTATCTTGATGAGTGAGGTTAATAGTTCATTGAAGGATGATTCATTGTAGTGTTGCGAATAGAACCAAGCATTTGCCCATTCATAGCAGATGAAGTCGCATGCTGGAACGAGGGTGGTGCGCTACTCTGGCATTAGGAATAATGCTATAACAGCATATATTGCACGTGAGTTCCATTTTGCTTGGTGTACATTTGGGAGTTTCTTCCAGTTTATTCGAGGCCAGCATGAAGTTATTTTTTAATGGCGATACGCTTGACATAGTTCATATAAGAACTTGTAATCATCTCGCCATGCAGGGTTTTTTTTTTTTCATAATTCTCTGTTAATTTATCAATGAAGGAATAATTGAGTTCTGGTTTGCTCGTTGGTTCTTGAATAAAAAAGTTCATGACATGTTTCAGAAGAAGGTCGAGAACATGGTGCTGACAGCCAATATATTGTGGTTTCTGAAAGCCCTTGCTCAAAACATCATCTTGTATTAGCTTTACAATCCCATGCAGACGACCAGTATTTACTGCAGTCGTGTCACAGATTATCATGCAAATATTTTCCCAAGCATTGTATTCATCATTTAGCTGATGTAGTTCCTTGTGAATGGCCACTGCAGAACCACTCTCACATTAAAAAATATCGAGTTTGATTTCGGTAGTCATATTTTTCAGCAGAACTACTTGGTATTCTTCCCCATGCACTCTTTTATTATCAAACTGGAGACAATATGGATCTTTGCCCTTAAGTTTTTGAGCAATTTTGGTTTTCATTTTCTGTCCTTCAAAGATTACTCTTTTCGACACCAGCCTGACTTGGAACCGGCACATCGTGGCCTTGTTTAGCAATGGTTGCGAGAACATCATGTGCTTTTTGTGTAGAAATGTTGTTTTTCAATACTAGTAAACCAGCTGCTGTAGTGCTGGCTCTTTGGTATTTTGGTTTGCATTCAGGAGATGACGTAGAAGAAGAGGTTTGCAAATCAGGTGAGAAAACAGAAGTTTCAGAATCCAAAGAATCTGAGACAGTTTTATGTGTTTGTGTGGGATGCAATTGAGAAGAGATGGCTTGGAATTGAGTTTTTGATAGTCGGATTCTTTTTCTTGGGTGGATTGATTCCAGAGGAACTTGTTTGACCATTGAATAACCAATCTTTCCTCCACTCTCAACTTGCCTCTGGTAGAGCTTTTTATCTTCCGTGTTTTTTTTTATATCTGTAATTTTTTTTTGTTTTTGTTAAATAAATCAATCAGACTGTTGAGCTTCTTTCTTATGAGTGCGCTGGATAACAGTGGAAAGTCTAGAATTTCCTCCCAAAGCTTTTTTATATCTGTAATCATAATCTTGATTCGATCCAGTCGCTGTTTCTCGCTATTAAACAAAAAAGTGAAGTTTCCAAGAATTTGATGGTTTGTCGGCATCCGCGTGAGATTGGTTAGTTTTTCAACAGATGGAATCTTTATTTTTGGAAGAATAGGGTAGATAATTAATCCAGATACACCTGTTTGATTCTATACTATTTCTGGAATATCTATAAGACATTTTATTGAAGTGACAAAATGTCTTTTCTGGATGACTTGCAATCTTGCACTGAAAACCAGGTAATTAATCTACAATATTCCAAAATGTTATAAAATACTTCAGAATATATGTATATTTTATGTTTGCACCTATAACAGAAAATAAAACATATCAATAATAAAATAATTATTTTTACTAAACTTGCCACATGTTGGGGCGAGTTTCCACTATTTAAGCTGAGATCAATAAAAATAAAAAAGTTAACTACCATCTGTAAATGCTTTTTTCTTATAAACAAATAGAAACAGACAGTTGACAGAAATGTGCTTAAAAGCAGCCTAGAACATTACATAAAAAGTCAGTGTGAAATTTAAATTGTTAAACAAATGAGGTATTTTAATGAGCCGGAAAACTTTTTAAAAATGTCACGTGATGGATAAATATAATTGATCTTTTAATAACGGAGTAATTGCTTTGTTTTTTGTTTTTTTTTGAGAGCATAGATATAATATATACAGATCAGTGATGTAGATGTTATAGTTATGTAAACAAATAGGCTCAAAGTAATCAAAAAGCATCTCTTATCCATCACGTGATCGTTGATCACTATCATGGTATTGTTTATTTGTGAAAGTACCTCATTGAGCGATATAAGAAAAAATAAAAATTGAAAGGTGGGGGAACTTTTTTCAATTTAAAAAAAAGTTAGCGTTGCTACTGTCATCTGCATATAATTGTTCCTTGAATGTGATAGGTTTCAGTTTCATTACAAAAAAAATGAAAATAGTTATTACCCTAATATATATATATATATATATATATATATATATATATATATATATATATATATATATATATATATATATATATATATATATATATATATATATATATATATATACATATATATTAGTGATAAAGTAATTCATAAGCACTGAGAAAGTTTAGTATCAGTTCAAGAAAGCGTCTGGAAGTTTTTGATTGTAAGTTAGCAAGTTGGCTGATGATCTTGTGTTTTGTTTGAAATTTGGGTTTCTAGAAGTTTGAATAGATATGCAAGAGATTTGATTGATAAAGTTTTAATAACTGATATCTTACAAACTCTTCTTTGATGGATTAGTAACCAATGAACAGATTAACCAATGAGAGACGATGCAAGATAAGCTATTTCGATTATGTTGGAGTTTTTTAAGATTTTTTTTGTATGAACCTAATAAATCTGAAACTTTGATAGACTGCTAGAATAGTCAAGTTGAGAGTTACCAATGCCACTAGCAATTGTGTTAGTGCTTCTTTGGTGAGATATTAACTTTAAAATTTTTATTTAATTTAAGCAGATTTAGTTTCGATCCATTTGAGCTCATCTGATTGTTTACCCAAATTTTTTTCTATGATTCACACTGTACCATTGCCTCCTGTTTGTTCCCTTAATTTTGTAAGTAAGAGCAACAATTTTAATGTTTCGAATTTTTTTGAGTTCACTGTCAAACAATCTTCATTTTCTGTTTTGTCTTTGTTAATAAAAATTTTTTTATAATTAATATTATCCATTAACTTAAAAAGTTAATGGATAATATTAATTACATATATTTAAATGTTAATGGATATACAGTATTGAACAAAATATTTGCAGCCAACATCGAACAATGCTAAAAAGTGTTCCTAATTTTACATGTCTTAAAAACGAAACAAACTTTACTACCACAGCAAACAGTTCAGAAGTCTGAAGTCATAGCATGCCATGACATAAGCAATCAGCTGACAGGTGACAGCACATAGGCAGAATTTCGTTGACAAGTGCCATTTTGCAGCGGACAAAACAAGTGCAACTTTTTTGGTTTGTTTTATTTTCTTAAGTCTAATCCATGTCAACGTCACTGAAGTTTTTTAATAATTAAAGGAAGTATCCAGAAGTTTTCAGAAGTTTCCAGAAGCATGCAGAAGTTTCCAGAAGTTTCCAGAAAAAGCATCTGGAAGCATCCAGAAGTATCCATAAGTATCCAGAAACATTCAGAAGCATCCAGAAGCATCGAAAAGAAGCATCTAGAATAATTTTTAAGAAAATTATTGGCGATTACGTAAGTGGAATGTCACAAAATAGTATTTGTGATAAATATCGCGTGAAAAAATGGACTGTATCATCACTATGTTCCAAATATCGTTCTGCGGGGAAGTTGGTAGCAGATAACAAAGGTGGGAGACCCCGTTCCACCACTTCTAGAGAGGATTCTTCATAATCTATTATAATCTATTTCTCAACATCTTTCTTGAATATTGTAACAAACATTTCCCAATACAAGAAATAAATTAAAATAAAATATTTGAAATGTCTGCGGATTACAGGGGGAATAAAAAAATCTTCAAAAAAAAAAAAGCAAAAATTACACTTCTAATATTTAAAAAACAGAAACAAAGCTAATCTTAATTTTATAAAGAATATAAAAATCTATTTTAAAAAAAAAAGTGATGATATCCAGGGATCCTTCAAGAAGGATCCCTGGATATCATCAGTCGAGATACAAAAGCAATTAGAGTTGCCTGTATCGGACCGAACAATCAGACGACGTGCTGTTGAAACCTGATTGTTTTCTTGACGCCCTGCAAAAAATTGCTGATTTCACTAAAGAACCAGAAGAAAAGACTCCTGTTTGCTACATCTTATATTGACTGGAATGTGCAGAAATTGTAAACTGTCCTTTTCAGCGATGAATCAAAGTTCAACATCATTGGGAGCGATGGCATTTGCCGTGTACGTCGACCAGCTGAAAAATGCCTCTATTTACGTTACTGCCATAAGACCGTGAAGCATGGTGGAGGGAATGTAATGGTCTGGGGGTGTTTTTCTGCTAATGGTCTAGGTCCAATACATCGAATCGATGGAATTATACGTTTCATGTATAAAAATATCCTGAAAGATATTATGTTACCTCATGCTGAATGGAATATGCCAATAAAATGGGTTTTTCAGCAAGACAATGATCCGAAACACAATGCAAAAGTAGTCAAGCAGTGGTTTCAAGACAACCACCTATCGGTGATGGATTGGTCGCCTCAATCTCCGGATCTCAACCCTATCGAGAACCTGTGGGAGATTGTCAACCGCAGAATTAATCGTGAAGATGTTCGTAATTAGGATCAACAGTTTGAACAAATCCAAAAGGCCTGGGCAGCATTTCCACAAAGTTTCATTAATCACCTGATCGAATCTATGCCTTGAAGATGCAAGGCTGTGATCGACAACAAAGGATTCGCCACGAAATATTGATAGCGAAATACAGCTTGGTCAACATTTTGTGGAGTTGCACTTGTTTTGTCTATAAGGAAATCAACTTTTTTTAATATTTTTGATTAGTTAATTAATTTTTGTGTACAAATAATAAACTTTGTGATGAATAAAACTTGAAGAACGTTGTCTCTAAACAGTCACATAGTTATTTCTCTAAATTGAAAAAATGTAGCACTTTTATATAAAGAAACTAAATTAGCATTATTTGGTTGCACTTGTTTTGTTCGATACTGTATATTTAAAAGTTATTGGATAATATTAATTACATATTTTTTTCTTAAAAGATCAGGCTTAATTACTTTTAGTATAGTTTCAATGGTTTGTTTATTCTTTTCTTTATATCTTTATTTGTCCATATTGGTTTGATCAGCAACTCCACTTATAATAAGTTTGTTTTTAATTCTTTTTTTGTTTTGTTATTAAAATCATAAGTTATTTTGCCCATCATTACTTTCATCACCACTTCAGTTTGAATTGCTTGTGTGTATGGGAATATTGTTTGAGTTTATTGCTGTTGCTGTTGAGGCATTTACTTTTTTAACTTCAAGTGTTTTAAAAAATCTGAAACAGTTGAGGATATTTTGCCACTCCATGTGAGCATGTTTTTGGTTAACACACACATATATATTTATATATATATATATATAATATATATATATATATATATATATGTATATATATATGTATATATCTTTAAAAGTCATTTCTTGTTATACGATATATATATATATATATATATATATATATATATATATATATATATATATATATATATATGTATATATATATATATATATATGTATATATATGTATATATCTTTAAAAGTCATTTCTTGTTATACGATATATATATATATTATATATATATATATATATATATATATATATATATATATATATATATATATATATATATATATATGTGTGTGTGTGTGTGTGTTGACTGTGTTGCCTCCTCGGGCCTTGGGGAGGTAAATAATTAAAAAATATATATTTATATATATATATATATATATATATATATATATATATATATATATATATATATATATATATATATATAAAGAGAGAGAGAGAGAGAGAGAGAGAGAGAGAGAGAGAGAGATAGTGAGAGAATAATAAATAAATAGATAGATAGCATAGCATAGTGTAGTATAGTATAGTATAGTATAATATGTTAACAACAATTAAAAAGTAAAAACAGTTCAAATCTGTACAAAGAGTATTTTTTAGACATGAGTTCAAACCATCAGATTCATTTATTGGATACAGTGAAGATAGTTGCGCTTCAATTGTAATTAAACTTTATCAAAAGTATGTTGGGAGTAGTGAGGTTGAACATGATAAAGTTGGTGAGGTTGATCATGATAAGGTTAACTTTAAAGGATTTACTTTTAGTTAAATAAAATTTAGAAACATTGAAAGTCCCTTTTACTAAAAATTTTTATTTTATTGCTATGATTCATTCTTTAGATTTTCGAAGAAAGTTGTCAGGTTTTATTAAAATTAGCTACTCCTGATTCTTTATTGCGTGTTGTGAAAACAAGTTTGAGAGACCATTTTGAGTATTATTGGAATATTTACTTTAATGAACAGTTTCATCATTCTCTGGCAGCATATCTTATCAATGAACTTGATAATATAGATAGCAAATTTATGCAGGTATTTTTTTGTCAAGTCTTATTACTTTTAAACTACAGATTTTCTATATTTTATTAAACAAAGTTAACATAATAAACCCTAAAATTGTCTAAAAAATTGTAATAATTTATTTTTCATTATTTTTAACTATAGTTTTAGTAAATTAAATTTTTTTTCATTTTTGCTTGTATCTCTAAATTTTTTTGTTGTATTTACTGTTTTAAATAAATAGTTTATATAAATAAATAAATTTGATATTTGTTATATATTTAATATTATATATTTATTTATTATATATTAATATTTTATTTTTTGGTTAATTATTTTATCTTCTAATAACTTTTACAGGTTACAACATTTTCACGACTTTTATCTCCAACTGACAAAGAGAATTTAAACATTGAATTAAATGATTTCAAAATTGAGATGATTTCCCTTATGCAGTTTCAAACAGAAAAATCATTCAGAGATTGTCTAAGGTAAATTATGTACTTTAATTGCGATTATTGAAATAGAAATAATAACAATAATATATAAAAATAATTCCTTTAACATTATAGTTTTATTAACTTGCACTATTCACTTGTGATGTCTTGGCTTCCACCAAGGCTGCAAGCAACCACTGATTAGTGTTAGAAGTTACTGGAAGAGAAAAGATGAAGATTATAGAGCAAGATAACGACTTTAGCAGATGCTAATTTTGCAACGGATTTGATATAAGGTTTCCAAGAAAGATCAGAAGTAAGAGTTAATGCTAAAAGATGAAGGGTAGATGACTCAATGAGCACATTACCAAAAAATTGAGTTCTATCTGAATTGAAGTTTACCAACCACTGTGAGCCCCATGCTGTAGCAGAAGTGAGATTCTTTTCAAGCTCAAATGCCCCCTGCAAGCAATCAGAGAGTCGTGACAAGAAGAAATGGTAGTATCATCAGCAAACAATGCCACATGTGATGTGAGAATATCTAGAAGATCGTTAATGTAAATTAAGAAGAGTATCGGGTTAAGGATTGAACCTTGAGGAACCCCTGAGGTTACAGAATAAGAAAAAGAGTGTTGTCCATCAAGGACAGCTTTTATACTACGATTGAAAAATAAGGATTCAATAATCTTTAAGATTTTTCCAGATTCACTGTAAGAAGAAAGTTTATGGAGAAGACCAGCATGCCAAACTTTATCAAATGCTTTAGAAATGTCAAGAGCGATGGCCTTAACCTCTCCACCTTTATCTAATGGGTGATATTAATGTGATATATTATTTAAAACTCTATGCTATTTTAATTAAATACTGAGTGTGTTTGATTTCAAAAACATTAAATAAATTTCAAGAAAAACAAAAATCTACTATACAAATTTTTTAATTTTTAATTACTATTTATTGACATATTTATTTAATTAAAATAAAAAGCATTAAAAATGTTCCTAAGTTTTTTTCAGCCAATCTGAATCACTTTTTTGGTGTTTTTATTTTAGTACTTATACATGCATTAGTTCAATAATAGATAATAAATATTTAAATACTTTAATAAATTTTTGTCTAATATTTTAATAAATGGAAAAATTTTGTCCCATATTTATTGTAGAATGTATTTCTTTATATCGCATGTTTACCTAAATTGTTCTAGCAACCTGTAAATTGTGTTTGATTATATTTTTAGAGTTGTGTGCAACGCTGAAAGTAATAAGAAACAGCTTCTTATTGTTCAAGCAAATAATGCTCAGGAGAGGAGCAAATTAATTGCATGTGCACAATACATTTGTAAAGAGTCACAAAAACAATTTAGATCAAAGAACATATCTGTTTTATTTATCCTGCAGTTGAACTATAAAGCTAAACGCCTAGACTTATTGAGCTCATTGTCATTCTGGGAATGCTGCCATATTGATGAGTTACGCAGCTCAAACTTGCCTTATCTTATAAAATATTATGGAAAATCTTTAAAAGAAATAATTAGCCTTGATGATCTAAAACTAAAAATGGTTCAACTAATATTAGGATGTGTACAAATGACTATTCGACGCCTAAGTGAAATGAAGCAAATGACAATTGAAGAAATATCACAACGAATTGATATTATAGCAAATCTTTTAACAAGTAAACCTGATGGTAATTAGATTTATTTTTTAATTAAAATTTCATTAGTGCAGAAATATTGTATATTATCAAATTTTATAAAAGTTTTTATAATAGTTTTATAAAATAAAATTATCTTTGAAAAGTTTAAATTTTTCTTTAACTATTTAAATTTTAAATTAATGTTATAAACCTATGGTTTTAATTTTATTCTTATCCTGTTTTATTATTGAATAAAGGTGATTATTAGTTAATTTTAAAATCAAAATATTTGTTATATAAAAACTTTATATTTAGTCTTAACTAATGTTGAGCTTGGTAAAATTGCTAAAGGATAACTTATGTATTTACCAGTAAATTATATATATTACGTTGCATCATCATATTGATCATATTGATCTTATCTTCAAGCTTAATCCTTACCCAGATGGTTGCAATAGTGATAATATACCAGTAAAGTTACCAGTAAACGCATCTTTTTTTGCCAAGTTTTAAGTTATAAGATTATAATAAAGATTATAATCATATAATATAAGATTATTATAAGAATATAATAAGGTATTATAAGATTATAATTATAATATATATATAGCTGCAGATATTTTTTAAAAGTGGTGTTTGATCCATCCTATTTTATATGTGTGTGTGTGTATATATATATATATATATATATATATATATATATATATATATATATATATATACACATACATAAATATATATATATATATATATATATATATATATATATATATATATATATATATATATATGTATATATATATATATATATATATATATATATATATATATATACACACATATATACATATATTCAAAACTATTTAACAAGTGCTTATTAGAACCTTATTTTCCAGTCTGCTGGAAAGCATCATTTGTTTTTTAGTCTTTTATTAACAAACCCCTAATCTTTCTTCTTGAATCTAATAACTTTCTGATCATCAAAATGGATTTCAGTCTTCTTGTTCTACTGCTGATTTGTTAACAGAAATAAGCAATGGGTTTTATCATCATTAGATAGATGTATAGAGGTTAAGGTTATGACTCTAAACATTTCTAAAGCCTTTGATGTAGTTTGGCATGCTGATCTTCTGTATAAGCTCTCTTCTTATGATGTATCAGGTAACATCTTTAAGATTATTGAATCCTTACTTGCCAATCGTAGTATAAAAGTTGTCCTCGATGGACAGCACTTTTCTTCATATCCTGTAACTTCATGGGTTCCTCAAAGTTATCTTTTGCCCTATACTCTTTTTAATTTATATTAATAATTTACCCCAAATTCTCACATTTAAGGTCACATTATTTTTGTCCTAAATAAGAAGCTAATACTCTCTGACTGCTAGGAGGGAACATTTGAGCCTGATAAGGATCTTTTGCTAAAGTATGTAGCTCTCAGTGGCTGGTAAAGTTTAACTCAGATAAAACTCAACCATATATCAATCCATTGCAAACCGTATATCAAATCCATTACAAAATTATTATCTGCTAAGGTTGCATCTCTTTATTGTGCTCACCACTTTCTTACTCAGTATTCTATTCTTTATCTGTTATAAATCTTAAATCCGTCTTTGTATGTAATACAATACATAAACGCATTATAAAAATAGTTTGGACTGCTCTTGTAGCCGTTTTTCAGTCATTGTCATATCATTGTAATGTTGCTTCACTTTCTCTTTTCTATAATTCCTACAATGTGGGTAATAATGGGTGCTGCTCTAAAGAGCTAGCATCTCTAGTGCCATCTACTAAATTAATAAAGTCTCATCCTTTTACTGTGACTGTTCCTATATACTCCAAAAATTCTTATTTGCCTAGTTTTTTTCTTCGAACATCAGTTCTTTGGAATTTGCTCCATTCATCTTCTTTTCCTGATTCGTATAATTTGCAATCTTTTAAGTCATCTGTTACTCGTTATCCAGTAAATTTCAACTTTAATAATAGTGGATAGTTGCAGCCTTGTAATTTTATGCATTGATTTAAAAAAGAATGTGTGACCATGAATCATTTTTTATTTGATTTTTCTATATTATTTAATTTCTTTTTTGTTGTAGGAATTAGTGTTGTTTAATGTTTTATTATTTTTTTATTTAATGATGTGTTATTTAAATATTTAAATGTTTAGATTTTGTAAATTTACTTTCAAAAGTAAATTTACAAAATAAATTTTAGGATTATAAAAATTAAAATTTAACTTTATTTTTTTATAAATATTTTATAGCAAACAATACTAAATAATAGTTTATCTTGCCTTCTTTGTATAAATATCTTAAATAGTAAATTTAAACACAGTTTAAATCTATTTCATAAATTAGTCAAATCTATTTCATATATTAGTCAAGTGGTCATCTGTCATGGAGTATCACAATTAACAGTAATCTTATTTAAAATGTTTAATGCGTTTTTTCAGATATTCGATACATGTTTATAACAACTGTATTGCGGCTGTTAGAAGCTGGCTTAGCTGCAGAAGAAAGCAAATGGCATCCTGATTATGTTACAAATTGGATTCAAAATGAAGCAATAGAACAAAAGTATCAACCATCATATGGAACATTTAGACATGCATTATTCTGTTATATGGAAGATCGTATTGTGCCTGTTCTCACGTCCATTGTTTCTAGTATTGATAGATTTCGTAATCTTGAAATTCTTCACAATGAACCAGAATATACAAAGCTTTGGCTGGAATTATTTTCTAAGTTCACTGTTATCTCTAACAATGCACCCAATAAGTTATTGGATCCATATTTTAGTTGCAAGTTTCCATTTTCAGATAGAATTTTCAAAGAAATTAATGATGCATTACAAAATTGTTTACAACCAGGTATAAAATTTTATAGATTGTGTATATATATTTTTAATGTTGATGTTTATATGTGCATATGTAAAGTTTTTAAATAGGGCAACTTAAAGGTTTTTTTTTTTTTTTTTTTTTTTAATTTAGTTTTTTAACAAAACAACTGTTCATTATGTCAGAGAACTAAATAATTGTTTGACTCTAAACAGACAAAGTTCTAAATTATTTTTTCTACTATATCTATAAGTTTAATTCTTTCACTAGATGATAAATGTTAGTGTAAATAGTACAATGTCATATAATAGAATCAATAGTAAAGGTAACAATACAAGTTGGAATATATATACTTTTATTCTTTGTGTTGTTTTAATTACTAAGTTTTATCAATGATCTTTTCAAAATCAAATTTTGCACTGTCCATCATTCAAGTCTTAAACTAACCTTTTTGAGCAGATATCCACAATGGTTTTTTCCCATCTGGTTGTATAAATATCAGTTGCCAATTTTTAAATTAATAATAAAGTATATTGATTTTTATTTTTTTACATAAAAATGTGCACTAAAAAGAGTTTATATGTTCTTTTATAAGTTTGAAAATTTTAAATGTAAATAACATAACTAAAACAATTGTTAAAGCAAAGAATAAAACAATTGTAAAAAAAATGTGGAAAAAACAATAAAGCAATAACAAAAACTTGTGTGAAAAGAACAAAACGCTAAATAGTTATGAAGAGAGATATTTTCTAACCTTGAAATTAAATTTGTATAATTTTATAGTGTTTTAAACAATTTTTAGTTATTTTTTCTATATAATTTTGGTTGCCTAGCATCTCTAGGTAATATTATAATAAAAAAATTACAATAAATAAATGTTTAGATCGTGTTTAAAAAACAAAATTCAAATTCAAAGCATGCAATACTTTTTTATTGAGTTCACAGTTGTCTTACATTGATTTATAGTTGTTTTATAAAATTAGTACTCCTTTATTTGTTTTATTTTATTTTATTTTTTCGCGCCAAAATACAGTGTTTTAAATTGAATAGTTGATATTTAGAATAGTCAGCTAATAATTAGAATTTGTTATATATATATTTTTTTGGTTTTAAATTAAGATGCAACACATGAAACACATGAATATAAACATATATATGACACAATTGAATCATTACCAATGGCAAGTCTGATTATGGGGTCAACAACTATGGAAGTCGATAGTTATTTGTTTGACATACTACGAATAAAGTATCCTGATCATTTGCAAAGTTCTGAGCAAGGCCTACACTCTTACAAAGTAACTTTTTTATATTTCTTTATAATTTTAAAAACAATATTGGCCTAATGTTTATAAAATGCAATTTTTTTTCATTTAATAACTTTAAAAAATATTTAGATCTTGGCATATGGTTTGATTTCTTTTACGAATTCTGTAGTTATTTCAAGAAATAAATACTTTGATGCTTGTGGTATAAAACTAAATGATATAATTAATAACACTAACTGTGATATAGTCTCTATACACATTGCTTTGAACACTAAAATATTTGAAGAAAGACTCAAAAGTATTTCTTTGATGCTTATCCTTCAACCAAAATTAAAAGAAGCTAAATTAGGTCAAGAATCAGAAATAGTAAGATTTTTTTTTCTTTTTTTACAATAACAATTTTATAAGAGTTCTACAATAGCATAAAGTTAATAGGAAACATTTTCCTGTTTATTGTTTTATTGTTAAATGTAGTAATGGTAGAGCACTTGCTTCAGAAAGGGAGTAGAGCTGAATTCAATCCCCATCATTTTCCTGATAATACCAAACTTGTTTCTTTGCACAGCAAATAATTAGTTCAAATTTTTTTTACTTCCCCTAATCAATATTTTACATTTTTTTTAATCGCTAGAACTTTTAGGTTAATTTGCAAAGTTTTAACAAATGTTAAACAAATTCAAAATTAAAATTTGCTTTAAATATCTTTATTCAAAACTTCATATGTAAAACTATAGGGTTTGAAAAGTTTCAGTTTTTTGAAAAATCTTTTGGCAGAACATAGCTTTATCAAGTCTTTTACAACTTATGTTGCATGAAAATTGCAAGAGTTCTTTTGTTAATTTCTTAAAATTTACTTTATCAAAAAAAGTTTAATATTAGACTTATGATAAATTGAAGCTTCGGGCTCCATTTCCACAGTAAAATAAATCTAATTATGCAATTAAGTTTACAATGAAAGTAATATTTTACAATGATGTATTTTTTATGATATGACATTAGGTAGTAAAATGACTTTTGGAACCAACTTAACTTAAAATAACTTTCTTGTTACAAAATATTTTTTTAAAACTAATCAGTCTACTTCATTATATATAAATGGAAAGTTTTGTTTCTACAAATTTTTTGTTGATGAAAAAACAAAGAAATAGATTCATGCTGTTCATAACATACAAAAACACTTTGTTGTACCAAAACATTTTAAAGTCTGCTCCAATCATTTCGTTGATGGCCTTGCCACTTATGAAAATCTTTATCTAACAAAAAAATTAAGGCCTCTTCACAAGATTTCTTGAAAAACTGATTTTTTACAAAAAAAATTTAAATCTAATACTTCTAACTCTGATACACTAGTCACATCTTATTAAAAATTTTATTATAAAGTTTATCATTCATCTTACAAGATAAATGATAAACTAATCTTTTCATAATCTTATTATAAGATGTGATACACTTATCACATCTTATTTCTTACAAGATTATAATATTGGTGATGAACTTATTTCTTATGAGAAAGAATGGACTTTGAAGAAAAATCTCACTGGTTAATTTATTTAAGTAATTTATGTTAGTTGTTTTATGTTAGTTATAATTACACCTAGGTCTTATGATTAAAGGCATTTGCTTTTGCATATCTGCCAAAACTGTTATTTTATTATTACATGGGTTATATCATCTTAAGAATTGAAGAGCTTGATTTTGACGCTTTCTCAAATTTTGGACAACTATGTAAAATTGTTTTAAACGACTATATCTAAAAGTGATTAGACTATAGTTTGTTCTAAAGTATATTTTTTGAAAAATCCATTGCCCTAGATGTTCAAGCTTGTATATGTAGTGACTATAAACGTCATGCAACAGTCAAATTTTAGAAGCAATAACTCCAAATAATATATTATAAAATTTTATTGCAGTCTTCTCTTTATGGCCAACAATCCTCTGATATTTTCATTGTCAGAAGTAATGATATTCTTAATACACTTAAGCACTTTGATTAGGATATGGAAGATAGTGGCTTCAAAATTAAGATGTACACTTTGCATAAATTAATTACCTCCAAGTGCTTCTAAAGGAAAACAAGTATCAGAAAAAGAACTTGGAAATTTGAAGATATCAAACATTGGTAATGTATGCATTCATGAAGAACAGGCAATTAAAGAATAAAACAGTTCTGTATTTAAAAAAAATAGCGCAGCCATTACTACATACCAATTTTAAATAATAAACTGTGCGTATGTACTGCTATATCAAACTTGAGAAAACCATTAGTTTATAAATTGTCTTTTAAAAAAAAAAATAGTTTATTCAATGTTCTTTTTTCTTTTAGAATATAATATTCCTTTATGCTTATAAGAATTTTAAATTATTAAAACTGCTATTTTAAACTTATTATTTAATTTTAGCATTCAATTTTTGTTCAACTTTGATTCATATTATTAATAATTCTATATATAGTATGAATTGTATCAAAAATTCTAAAAAATTCGAATTTCATTAAATATCATGTTCAATTATTAAATTTTTTTCTTTTCTTTGCCAATTTTTCTGTAAAATGATCTTTACTATTATTAGTCTATCTAAACTTTAGGTCATTATTATTATAAATGACTTTAGGTCATTATTGTTACAAATGAATTATTAAATAGTAGAATTATCAATTATATGGTCTTTCATAAAAAATAAAGAGATCACTTTTTTTTAACTTTAAAATCTGTTTGTTTTGATACATGCTCTTCATAGAATTTTTTTATAGCATCTTGCTTGTGATTATTTGTGATTGATTATCTGTTTTGTATAAATGTTTTTTTTTTTTTTTATAAACAAATTTTCATCAGATTATTTGATTGAATAATTTTTGATTTTCATGTGAAGAAAGACATAAAAACTAGTTAAAAACATGTATTGTTTTTGTGTTATGAAATATATGTATATATATATATATATATATATATATATATATATATATATATATATATATATATATATATGTATGTGTGTATGTATGTATGTATGTATGTATGTATATATATATATATATATATATATATATATATATTTAAATATTACTCCTCGGAATTAGAAAAAATGAGGTTGGAAAATTATTGCATACCTCAATCTTTTGGAGGTCGTCAAAAAAAAATTGATACAAAAGTCTTACCATAAAGCATAGAAATAAGGTCGTCAATTTTTTGCCAACCTCAAATACTTTGAGGTTAGCAATTAAGTCCGCATTGGTGAATGCTGACCCTAATTCTGAAGGTTGATATATATATGTATGTATGTATGCATGTATATAGCTTTTATTCTTTATAACTTTCAAGGATATAGATGTTCATTTAATGAATCATTTTCTATCTCATCTTGCTTCTAAATGCTTCTCTCCTGGTGTCATTGAGGAAATTAGAAAAACAAAAGTGTTGATCAATTGTGTTTTTGATTCTGTTATCAAAAGTAAATGCAATAATGCAACAAAAGAAATGGTGGAAAAATTACAGTAAGTTTTTTTACTTAGATATTATATTAAAATGAATTTAATATTATATTTAAAAAAGTTGAATTTGATATTACATACAAATGTAAGAAATCCATTTCATACAATACACTCACTGGTCAGACTTATTTCAATAATGCAATTTTTAAAATATTCAGTTATTTAATGTTTATGAATAATATCTCAATGATATTCTTAATGACAAGTTCCAATGTTTTTTATTTCAAGTAATTTTTTATTTTTTAATAATATTTTGCTTTTTTCATTTTGTTTTATTGGTTTTGATGAAATATTTCAAATTAAAACATCAGACTTTAAATGTTTTTTAATGTAATTTAGAATTCGTTGGTGCAGTTTTAGAATCTGTCAAAAGTTTTCAGATGTTGTGTTTCAAGCCTCTACAAGTTTTTGTAATCATCAAATTGATTTGTTAACCTCACTGTGGAAGGTATTTTTTTTATTATTTCACTATTGCTTAATTCATTTTCAAAATAAGTGTGTGTGTGGGGGAGGGGGTGCATTAATGGTTGAAATGTATACTTTGCAGTCTTCTATTATATTACAAATCACTTTTATCTTAAATTGATTGGAAAGTTTTTTCATTTGTTTCATTGTGGTGTAAAATGATAAATAGCAAATTTTTTAAAGTTTTTTTTATCAAATCATGAAAAAAAAAAAATTTTATTTACTAAATT